TACACTGAGCTGTCCAAACCCAGCACCCCTGCTCCGATGAGGTGGCTAAGTTGTGGCTACCAAGCCGCCTCAGTGAGCTATGCTTATTTTAGGACCTTGCAGCCTCCCTGGGCTCGCTCGGTTGTTTGGATCTGGAACAAAAAGCAAGCCCAAGTGGAGCTACAAACCCTGCAGAGCTACACTTCCAAAGCATCAGGGTCTTGCCATTCCAGTCAAAAGGTTCCAGTGACAACCATCCAAAGTGCCCAAGCAGCATCTTGGACAGCTGTCATTGGCTTCCCAGCCATTGCATACTGGGTGCCTCAACTTTCTGCATGGAAGAAGGCACCTTGCTTTGTCATCCTCCTCAAGCCAGCTATGAGAGTAGAGTACCATTCTGTGTGCTTCACCATGTTTTTTGTTTTGTTTGTTTATATATAAATATATATATATATATATATATATATATATATATATATATATATATAATCAATTGAAAGCCTAATGAAGGACAACTGTGGATTTGCTCCTGCCTCCCTGCTGTCTGGTAGGTGTCTACACAAAAGAACAAAACCTCTCCTAGCTCTTGAATTGCTGGAGGAGTGGCTCTTACAGGGTCACTGAACCCAGTGAACAGAAGTAGAGAGGAACTCGTGCTACTATGGGAGCAAAGCAGGAATGCATAAACTGGCAACCTCCTGATGGTTTGGACTACAGCCCCTGCTCCTGGACAATGCTAACTGGGGCTGATAAGAGGTGTAGTCCAAAACACCCGAGAGAACGAGTCTCATGAACACATCTCTCCCCTTTCCACTTTCTAGCAGATCTAAACAGATCTTTTGTAATATAGTCCTTGGTTTGAGCTAGACTGGGTTTTTATGATGCAGTTGCCTCACAAGAAGGTTGTTCTTGATCTAAATAACATTCCCTCAGGTCTGTGGGAGCAGCTCTTGCCTATGTGAAGAGTTGGTGCCAAACTGAAGACCGTCCCCTCCCTTCCTTCCCCAAAAGTCTTCACTCAGGGAGGTTTCTACTGCATGTGGGCCAGCTAGTATGACTTAATCGGGGCACCTGTTTGGCTTGACACCAGCTCTGTGAGTTAATGAATGTAAACCTCTCCTCTTCAGACTTTCCCTGTTCTATAATGTCTCCCTGCAATCCTGACAGGGTTTGGATCTCAGCAGCCATCTGACAAATCTGACTTGTTAATGCTGACAGTTCTGTGCCTCATTCCAGCCGCTCTCCTTCTTTGTGTAGTTCACATTCCAAGTCTGACTGGGAATGCCGTGAAGGAGAGAAATGTGCTCCTTCTCTACAACAGGTTGTCTACCCCTAGAAGAGAGGGTGAGACAGCACCGTTGTAGGAGCAATGTGGAATCATAAATGCCTTTGGTGTGTAAAATGTCGAATAGCGACCCTGCATGGCTGAACATGCTGTCCCTGCAGGTGGCAGAGGCCATGGAAATCATGCTGATCGCTGTGGTGAGTCCGGCCATCCGTTGCGAATGGCAGCTCGGAAACTGGCAGGTGGCTCTCATGACCACAGTGAGTAGCGTTTTCTTTGCCTCACTACTGTTTCTAGGTCGATGCAGGCGTTGGGCCAGCCCTACCATTAGGCAGAGTGAGGCGGCTGCCCTAGGCAGCCGGACGTTCTGCAGGGGCAGCAACTCATCACTTATTTCTTGCTGTTGTGTCTTCACTGCCAGGTGCTTGGGGGATTGTCTGTCTCAGCTGCTAACACAGATATGACCAGCCTTGGGGACTTGAAGGCTGGGGACAGGGTGGGGTGTGAATAGCACCACTTGCTGCTCCATCTTGGTAGGGGGGTCATGTGTACTGCTCTGCAGAGGACAGTTCTCTGTTTGAAGGGCTGACTCCTCCAATTCCAGTTTATAGACAGAGTGAGAAGGGAACATCAGGCCTCAAAGTAGCCTATTAGCAATTAGCACCTGGATATCAGACTGGGCAGCCTGGCAGGCCACCAGGTCACAGTCCTTCTCTGCTATTGAGATATTACTGTATTCTGGTAAAACTTTCTAAATAGACACTGGTGCATCTAAATTAGCACTGCATGCTCAATGTGGACATTCTCTTGGCATCTACAAGGCTCACTACCCTTCTTAGTTTTTTCTTAAGTTTTTAAGTTTTTTTTATAGTAAGTTTTATTTGAAATTATAATCCTAAAAACAAAGAAAAACTAAAAACAACATCAATCAACAAAAACATCGGGCCTGCTGGGTCAGCCCCCACACCTTTCTTTTTTCATTTATGATAACTTAAAAACATATTTAAATCTATGTAAAGTCCTGTTTCTCTAGCTAGTAATAAAAAGAGTCCCAAGTTTGATAGAAGTCAGTATCTTCTTTCTCCTTCAATGATAAAGTCAGTCTATCCATTTCTGCACAGTCCAAGAACTTTTTTAGAATTGGTTCGTCGGTGGGTAGTTCTTCATTTTTCCAGTGTTGAACAAATGCAATCCTCGCCGCAGTAATTACATGTAAAATCAAATACATTTCTTGTTTATTAATGTCCACCGGTATAATGCCTAATAAGAAGACTTCAGGTTTAAAAGTTAAGGGTTTTTGTAACATTTCCTCAAGCCATTTACATATTTTAATCCAATACTTTTTCACGTTATCGCAAGTCCACCACATATGATAAAAAGTACCCAATTTATGTTTACATTTCCAACATTCATCTGACATATTTGGAAACATCTTAGCTAATCTATTTGGTGACAGATACCAGCTATAAAACATTTTATACAAGTTTTCTTTATACAAAGTCACTAATGTTACCTTAATATTTCTCTCCATAGCTTTTGCCACTTTTCTAATTCAATATTATAGCCAAAATTTTGTACCCACGTTATCATAGTCTCCTTAACCTGTTCGTCTTCCATTCTCCTATCAAGTAAAAAATTATATAATCTTTTAATCATTTTCTCATCTGATTTAAGCATCACTTGATCAAACGCTGTTAAGTCCTTATAAAAACCCCATGCTTTATAGTCTTTAGCATATCTCGATTGTACCTGCACCTTGTGCCACCAAGAGATATTAAATCCCTGTTCTTGTGTTTCTTGATTCAATTTCAATCCTCCATCCTCATCCAAAATGTCATCATATCTTATAACCCCTTCAAAATTCAATGCATTTGGATACACAAAAGCTTCCATGGGTGAAAGCCATCTTGGCAATTTATTATACAGTTTTAAGATTTTTAAAACATTAAAAAATTAACTGGGAAGCCAGCATGGTGCAAAGCAAACTTCCAGCTTCCAGAGCAGGTACATCTTTATTTCCCAAAATAAAGGGTCATGGAGGCATTCTTGGAAAATAGACATGGCTGCAGCTATGCTTTGTTCTCCATTAAATCGGTGGAGAACAAAGAAATTGTGGGGGCCAAAAAATGGTTTTGTACTTTGGAAGTCAGAACTGACTGTATGTGGGATCTTGGGTTAATTGTCTCTCAGCCTCATCAGTTTGCCTTCTGTGAAATGGGGATTTAGGGACTGGCCATGCCGTTTTGTGAGGCTGCTTGTGGCATGCTCTCAGAATCCCAGAGGAGTCCACCTTCTTCTACATAGCTGAAGATTCAGGATTTGCCTCCCCTTAGGCCGAGTAAGGCAGTTGCCTCAGTCAGGAGAGGCAGGGGCAATCTGCATCACTACACACACACACACACACACACACACACACACACACACACACAGTTGGGGGGCATGTGTGTGCACAGCCATGCCTTCCATGCAGCCTTCGGAGACATCCTCTGAAGAAGGAGCCCTCTGATGTGTGGTGTTTGGAGTTAAGGCCCTTGAAATAAGGACTTTTCCTGGGCTTTTCATGCTACATTCCCTGGATGGGTTGCACTCGTGGGCCCCACAGATCTCCCCAGACAAGTAAGGTGGTATTTTAAGGGAAATACTTTAGAAGATTAATTTTAGAGGATTTAACTTGGCAGTTCTAATCCAGGACAAGGCTAGCTTAAAATAGCGTGACCCTGTCTCACCCTAGGGGTGCAGAAGACAGATATTTGTCTAAGCTGTAATGGATTCACATCTAAACGAGGATTCCTCCCATCCCTGCCACCAAGATGTGGCAGAGCTCCAGCCAGCCTGGTGGGGGAACTCTTATCTCACACCTGCATTTTAAAAATATTTTTTTCAACAAAGTAAACCACACATAGCATAAACAATCGGAGTCACAATAAATTTACACTCCTGAGTGCATTTAACTTACTCCACCAACTCAGCTTTAAAGATAACCATCTATATAAATCCCATGAAATCAACTTATTCAAACTGAGCTGGACCATTGGAGATAGGTCTCTGGGAACAAGTATTCCCAAATAGGTAATTCCATTTGAACATCATCGAAATTGATAGACAGTTAATATTCTGCAGTTCCCATTCATCCTTGTTCTCTTGCTTGTATGAAAGCAACATTTCCAAAAGCTAGCTAGGGTGTATTTACTGAGAACTGGAGCTGCCCATTGTAATAGGATGTGGAAAGGGCAGGTAGTCCCGATGACCTTCAGGACACATTTACAGTGGTGCTGGGAAATGCATCGGCTGCAGGCCACATGTGCCCTCCTTTCCAGCCTGCCAACCCAGGCTGAATTTGCCCAGTGGGTGCCATCATGTCCTTTGTCTAATGCAGGAAAAAGTATAGGCCCAGTTGCTGCTTGTCCATCTGTTTTCTCCAAGTGAAAGGTACAGGAAGAAGGAACAGCAGACTCCACTTACTTTTCTGGGCAAGGGGTCCAAATTGCACTGAGTGGGGAGATTGGGCCCAGAGTGAGAAGAGAAATTGATATGTAGTGCTCACCATGGCAAGGAGGTGGACCCTTTTGGAGAAATGGAGCCAGCAAAGTCCATCTTTCCTCAAAAATCTGGAGCTGCTACTGCTAGTTTTTAGACTTATTCATTTTTCAATTAATTTTAGAGCTGTACCTCATTGAATCTCCAACTTCAAAGGTCCATTCATTTACCAGGATCTGTGTCTTTTGATTCCTTCTAGATGGTGTTTTTTGGCTATATGGTATCCAGTGTAATATTTGGGCACTTAGCTGATAGATACGGCCGCTGGAAGGTAGGTGGCAATATGTTGGATGCCATCTTTTCCAACTGTTCCTCGTAGGACTTGGGCTCTAAACCCCTCACTATCCTATGGCTCCACCTTGTAAATGTCCCTATTAACATGTGGCACCTAGAACCGTGCAGTGTTCCAGATGCAGGCTGGCCAACACAGGCAATGGCACTCTGAGATCCACGACAGCGCACGTAAGTGCAGTCTTCAGCCCATCCATACATTTTGTTGCTTTGGAAAACTGACCCCCTTTCTGTGTCTTGCCTTGCAGGTTTTATTCATCTCTTTCGTCTGGGGAGCGTATTTCTCCTTGCTAACATCATTTTCCCCTTCGTACATCTGGTTTGTCTTCCTCCGGACCATGGTGGGATGTGGTGTGTCGGGTCATGCTCAAGGGTAATGTAGCACAAACAGCTTGTCAGTAGGATTGTCAGTGGGGAGGAATCAGGGCATCCATCTAGGCTTCATATCCATATGAAACGGCTCATCACTCAGCTTTGGAGAGCTTCCAGGTGTGCACCTGTTCTGGGAAGCCCAGGCTGTGCTGAGGGCAAGCTGGAGTGCTTTCCACCTTCCACCCAGGGAGAATTCTGAATCCCCTGTTATCAGATGGGGGTTCAGGAACCATAATAGTAATAGCCTTCATACTCATAAGAACAGACTTATGTTGGGAGCTTTATATGGGGCTTGGAAGCCTCTGCTGGCGCAAATAATGGTGGCCCAGCTTCTCAAAGGGTTAGATCACTGACAGCCTGATGCATTAGTGCTTCAACAGGCCTGTTTCGGTGTTTCTCATGTGTAGGAGCTGAGCATGCAGAAGAGGCAGCAGGACCATGCTGCTGACTCCACCACCAGCATCCTTTATGGCACTGGATGCACCCCTGGGAGGTTTGCACATTGGTTTAAACATCTGCATGGGACAAACCGATGCATGAGCAGCTGCTTTTCCATAGAGAGTCCAAGGCAATGCAGTCAATCTCGGCCTCTCATTCATGATCTGGCTGAGCTGGAGCCATGCAGAGGTGGATGCTGGATGAGATATTACAGATTCTTTCGTACATCTCTCCTTAACCTTCTCATTTTATTCGTTTTTTGAATTTTTGTTTAGGCTTATAATACAAACAGAATTTTTGCCAACAAAGTACCGGGGTTATATGTTGCCATTATCACAGGTAAGCAGAAGGAAAACAGCTGATTCAGTTCCTCAGGTGCTAAGATTTTCAGATTCTGTGTCCCTACACTGTCAGAAGCTTAGTTAGTGGGTCTGAGGTCAAGGCTTCTCTGTCATAGGACCTGGTGTCTAGAACTCTCTGCAGTTAGAGGTCGATTTGGTGGCATTTTAGCATAAGTTAAAACAAGAATGTACTAGAGGAACACGCAATGTGAAGCTGCTTCCTTTTGGCATTGAGGACACTCTGCTTGGTTGCTTTATACTGCTGTTTTCTATATCGTAGGTTGCTCTTACTGAACTATCATTATTTTCACTGTATGTCATTAAGCTACCTCAAGAATTCTTGCAGTATGGAAAGGATGGAGTATGAATGGGGGAAAATACCCGATTTTTTTTTGCTAAGGATGTCAAAAATTCTATAAGCCTGCCTATACTAAGGCTTTGGTTTCATATTTCTCAGACGGTCTCCCTCACGCTGGGCCACATGTCAAGCCATGTTGCAAACAGAGTAGACTTTTAAAAGCAGCTTGCTTATTGCACATGACTCAGGTGTTTAAACAAAAAGTAAGCGCCCTGTCCCATGGAGCTTTCCTCAGGTTTGGGGTGTAATGGAAGAAGTTCACTGCATCTTGACCAAAGAAATTGGGACTTTCAGTCCCTTGTTTTATTGGGCTTCGCACCCCACCCCTCGTTCTTGTACACTTTAAAATAATAGCTTTGGTTGTAAATCACCTTGAACAAACTGGATAAAGGAAAACAGAAATGTATAAGTAACAGGAAATACTTCTAATTCTTCCAGAACTGCACAAGTTCATACTTCAAATATCTTTATCTGTATTGTGACATTTGGCAGCATTAAATGTGTGTGCCAGTAAGCTCTGGAGAAATTTGTTCTTCAATAATGGTATTCTCCATGCACTTCATTTGGAGAAAGACAGCTGACATTCAAGTTTCAGGAACTGACTCGGTGAATGCCTCACTTGGTCAAAATTGGTATCGACAGCATGCTAGTTGGAAGCTGGAGTGCTTTGCTACATCTTTTCTCAGTGATGTTTTGTGCAGTAACAGCAGTTTGAAGTCATGAAAGCTGATGTGACTGTGGAGAAGAAAGGCTGCTAAAACAAATAATAAGTAAAGAACCCATCATCACGTGTTTTAACCTCTCTGTTTCCACTTGACAGGTGTTTTGGTTGGCAGGCTCCTTACTAATTATTGGGTTGGCATCGGTAGTTAACCCAACCCTTGGATGGCAGTGGCTGGTACGAATTGCTTCAATTCCAGGCATAGTCCTCATCCTAGCATTTAAGGTTTGGAAGACTCATGAATGTGTTAGCAGTACACTCGTGTGTGCATGTGTGTACCCCTCTGTAGATATCTTTTCCCCTCCCTCAATCCACCTAAATTTGGCCATGAATCATAATTAAATGTTGCTGAAACCAAGGAAGCAAAAGAGAAACAGCTTCAAACAGAAGTAACATTAGCTGGATTGGGGCCATAAGCTTAAGACTTCGCTCTCAAATTGGAAGATAATGTAAGTGACACGTGGGATTGAGAGAGGCGTGATAACAAATGAGCTGGGCAAAGAAAAGGAAAGGGCATCTGACGAAGTTTGCAACTGACCCAAAATTCAGGAAGAGAGACTGACTTTTTCCTGGGATCAACATACTGAATGACCTGGAAAACTGAAATGAAAAACAGTGACATCAGTTTCAGCAAAAGAATGAGTGACATGCCAACTTTTGGAAATATAAATTGGGTGCAAGAATATACTGTAAGGAGGCTATCAGCTATGCAGTTATACTACAATATATTTTCTAGAGCAAAGGCCCACTTGCCTTTTTTCTGATTATATTCCTTTAGCAAAGATTCTTTTTTCAGTTTGGAGGTGAAGTTTGAGGGAGAGCATGTGGCCATCACAACCAAGACTGCTTGGACCCACCCACCTTGTTTTACATTACTTATTGGCACCTAGAGGGAAGTAAGAGGAAAACAGCAATGATTGGAGGTCGCAGTTGGTTGCTATCTCCACGGGGTTCCCTTACCTGTGCAGTGGGGTGGCAGCAACTTACAAACTGGATGGAAGTGTGCATGTGGAATGGCAGTTGGCCCCCCTCACAAGGCCATCTTAAACAGCCCTCTTTACAGCTCGCTTGCCAAGAATGGCTCATGAGGACAGGAAACGTGCCGGGAGAACCATTCCACCACGTGTAGTTATCATATTGCAAGGAGGATCCTAAATAAAGTCTGGTGTTGAGAAACTGACAAAGCTGAGAATGCTACAGCTGCATTTTCTTCCCCATTTGTATTTTGCAGTTCATCCCTGAGTCTGCTCGGTATAACGTGTCTTGTGGAAATGACAACGGTGCCCTTGCAACGCTGCATTGGATTGCTAAGATGAACCGTTCTGTTATGCCTGAAGGAAAGTTGGTGGAACCTGTTGAAGTAAGATTTGGGAAACATTATCCTTGTACTAATGGATAACCGTGGAAGAAAATAACAAGATTCAGGGCTGAGTCTCATGGCCAGTTGGCAGAGCCATGATTACTTAAGACTGGGCCTGAACAGTCAGAAGCTTTGCTATGATAGAAAAGCGGCGGTGCTCTTAGTTATTATCAACCACTCTATTTAAAGCTAACACATCTCTCTGGGCAGTTCCCAACATTCAAGTCACCCATCCAGGTTTCAACCAGGCCCAACCCTGCATTGCCTCCAAGATCAAGAGGATCAGCATTTCAGGCTATGCAGGAGCTCGTTCTGTTCATTGCTTTGTCCTTACATCACTATACTAACATCTAGATGTTAGCAGGCTGGGGAGCTGGTGGAGACAAAAGATAGATCCACATTTCTTGCAGTGGAAACTGTGTGACTGGATTACGCCCAAGCTTATTTGCCATGTAAGATCATGAAGAACAATCCACAACCAAGTCCTGTTTAGTCTGTTGTTTGCACTGTGGTCAACCAGATACCCCTTTGGGAAGTCCACAAGCTAGACATGAATGCAACATCATTCTGTTCTGGCCATGTTCCCAGCAGCTGGGATTCAGAGAGACATACCAGAGGTAACATACAGCTCTCATGACTAGTAACCATTGAAAAGTTTATCATCCACTGACTTGTCTAATTGCCTTTCAGACTTTCCAAGTTGACAGCTGTCTATCTTGGGATAGTGAATTCTGTAGTTCAACTATGTGTTGTGTGAAGAAATATTTTATTTCACCTGTCCAGAATCTTCCACCATTCAGCTTCCTGGGATGACCCTGGGTTTTAGAACTATGAGAGCAGCAATTTAGAGAACCTTTCCATGAAATGATATGCACTGTAATTCTGAAACTGCATACAAGTTAGGATTCGTGTTTACGTTTTCAGCAACATGTTCCTAATCTCATCCTGACTTTCCCTTCAAATTATTTTTAGGAAAGAAGGGGTAGATTCAAAGATCTTTTGAATCCCAAATACTTACGAACAACTCTGCAAATATGGATTATATGGTAAGCGCTTCATTCATATGGCAATGTATAAGCAAACAGAAATCAATAGAATCTGCCAAGAGTTGCATTAGATGCATCTAAAGGAACAGAATCAGTTTGAAGGTAAGAAAGCAGGTTCTGGCAAGTCTTTTTGATTATATGTCTCTGGTTGCCTCTGTTATCACATGCAGAGGAACCAAAAGCCCAGCTAATGACTTTCTGTTTAAAGCCTAACTCTCACATCTAATTTGGGAGAGTCCGTCTACATAAAAGATGAATACAAAACAGGCAATATGGCTGCTCAGATATGTGTCTGGATCCTTTGAAAAAGCACCATTATACAGCATTGCTGTGCAACCAATGCATGCTAGAGATTCAACCAACCTCTTGCTCAAATACCTTTGCACAGACAGGCTCTCGCACTCTGTTTCCACTGTGTCCGTGTAGCTGTGTGTTCATGCACTGGGTTGTGAAGGACTCATTTCCTCTTGCAGTGTCACATGCTGCCTCTGCTCCCTGGCATTGCTCAAGCCATGAAGGAAATTCAATGAGAAAATGTGCCTTGATCGAAGCCCTAATGCATTTTTATATTTATTTTTATCATACAGTAAAAAACAAAACTGCACCATGGGATGAGGAGGGAAAGAAAAAAGAGTAAAATAAACCATATCATTGCCATTTTGAGTAAAATATTAGAAGATTCATAGCACTAGTTAATAAATATCATGATATATTAGTATATAACAGAACAAACTACCATTATCAATTTAAAGATCTTGCCTCAAGGCACATTCACAAATGGAAAGTTTCATTAAACCCTCCATGCACTGTGTTATTGCAGGGGGCTATTTATCCTTCCCATGTTGTTAAAAAATATTAAAGGGTGTCAAAAAGGTGTAAAATCCCTTTACCCTTTCCTTGCATTCAACTCCACGAAATGGATAGGCAATTCAGAAGAACGTGCATGTCCTGAAATAGTAGAATGGAGACAGACGCACCATCTCATTTACATTCCAACAGAGCTTCCGGTTATGTGCCAGTCCCATTACTGGAGAGTCTCTGGGCGCAGTGCCACGATTGTGCTCTTCCTGGCTTTCATTTGGGCTGCAGAAACAGTGCCGTGACTTGCACACTGAAGCTACTCAGAACGTGCCATTTCCAATGCTGGTTTCCACCATCCCCTTATTCGCAGGCTCGGAATAGCTTTCGCTTATTATGGAGTCATCCTGGTGAGTGCAGAGTTGCTGGAGAAGGATTTGGCTTGCGGAAGAGGAGCTGGAGAGGAGGGGTTGGGCCATCGTTCTGAGGAGATCCAGAGCCCTTGTCTCTGCCACCTGTTTGCTCCGTCTGATTACCAGATCATGTTCATCAGCACGGTTGGCGAGACTGCAAGTAATGTTTTCTTGCACAGCTATCTAAAATAGAATGTAAATGCGTCTCTGATGGAAAGAGGGAATGCCACATATGCTAAATGAAGCTTAGGAGTCCTGAACTGTGGGTTGGTTCACTTGCTATTTTCATTATTGTCATTAAGCATGTTCAAAGAGCAGTGCTAGATCAGGCCAAAGGCTTGTCCAGCACTCAGTTCCCATGGTGGCCAATTAGGTGCCTATGGGGAGCCCACAAGCAGGTCATCAGGACATGCCTATCCATGTTCCCCAACAAACAGCATACAGAAGTGTACTGCCTCCTACACTGGGCGCAATATATGGCCATCATGACTAGTAGCTACTGATAGCTCTGTCCTTTTAAGCATTTGTAAAGCTGCCCATGTTCCTAGCCTTCATTGCATTTTGGGTTAGCAAATCCTGCAGTTTACCCATGTGTTGTGTGAATAAGTGGTTTCTTTTGTCTGTCCTGACTCTCCCACCATTCAACTTCTTGGGCTGACTCTGGTTTCCAGTAGTATGAAGGCAGTTGGCAGGTAAAGATGGAGGAATTGTGCAGCGGCCGATTGTGCAACCTGACATCATTTCCTCTCCCCTTGCCCCTTATTCTGTTCCTGTTTTCCAGTAAATCCTTTAAACATTCTTGGCATCAATTTCCTGGGAAGGCGACTGAGCCTGACGATAACGATGGGATGCACTGCAGTGTTCTTCCTTCTCCTGAATGTATGCACTTCAACGTAAGTGTTTCAGGAAGAACCCTATTGAGGCGAAGGAATTGGTCCTGTTTCGGATGCATACAGCAGCTTACACATGGCTTGGACAGCTACATTCTCTTATCAGCCTTCCTGAAAGTTCTGAAGGCACACTCCGATTTGGCTTTGCTAGGCTGGTGGACCAAGCGTTGGAACATAGGTTGCCTGTTGGTTGCCATTCCTTTTGCATGGACTGCTCGCGCTTGAGCAACTCTGCTTACACTAACAGAGTTTACTATGGAGAGGGTTGTCCATTCTAGAGAATACTAAAATTGTGACAGCAGAATTGTGTTCACTTAGCCAAGACCATTAGCTACTAATTGTGGTGGTTATGCACTCCCTTATTTTATTTATTTATTTATTTATTTATTTATTTATTTATTTATTTTAGAACATTTGTATGCTGCCCAATTGTGCCACAGCACCTCTGGGCGGCTCACAGTCATGAGATAAAACACAGCAGAAAACTAATTGCAACACTTAAAAATACAATGTTAATAAAATACAGATGGTAATACAAAACAGAAGGTTGAGTGGCATTAGCTATTAAAATATTTTTTTAAATGAAGGTCTTCACTGGACGATGAAAAGAGTATAAGGAAGGCGCCAGGCAAATCTCCTTGGACTCCGTCTGGGACAGAGATGAACAAATCAATCTGTTTTGCTTTGCATGACTTTTGAGCTTTTGAAAGCTCAACTTTGTTCCATCCCGTTTCAACACCCATTTGTTGTTTTATAGGGAAAACAAGTTTGCCTAAAAATTCATATGCATTTCCCCTATCGTATGTAGTAATAATGATAAGTAAACATATAGAATGATAAGTCCTGATGAAAAAAATATCAACATGACTTCTGGAAAGGTGTTATATCTCACTAATTGTTTAGAAGTCTTTTACAGCATCAATAAATAAGTAGACACAAGTGATCCGGAAGATATTTACTTGGGCTGCCAAAAGGCCTTTGATAAAGTCCCTCACTAAAGACTTATAACAGGAGAGGTTGCTTTATGAATCACTAACTAGTTTAAAAATACAAAGCAGAGAATAGGAAGAAATGGTAACTTCTCCCAATGGAAACAGCAGGGATCTACATTGGGACCAGTGCTTTTCAACATTATATATATATATATAATCTTGGAAGTCCTGGAAAGTGGGTAGAGGGTTTTCTCTTTCATAATATCAGAACCCGAGGTCATCCCATGAAGCTGAATAATGGGAGATGCAGGAATTCTTTACACAGCACATGGGATTCCTTGCTATGCGATGTAGTGATGGCCACTGATGGCTTTAAAAGGGGGCTGGAAAAATTTATGAAGGATGACATGGTTGTTAGTCCTGATGGCCATATGCTGCCCCTGGTATCTGAGGCTGGGAAACACATTAGTCCTCAGTTTGCCAGCACATGGGGCATGCCAAGTCCAATCATAAATCTCATGTGCTATCTTTCATAAGGGACATCACTTCCCAAGCCCTTTTGGTCTGTTGGAGCATTCTACCTTGAAAAGTCGTCTAACTTTCTAGCAAACAATTGTATTCGATAGCATTCTTCGGTATGATGTGCAGTCAGGTGCTGGATCATGGGATGAGCGTCTCTATATTTTCTTTTTTCCCCTTTCATCTTAGTACGGGCCTTATCAGTTTTCTCTTCCTGTTGCGTGGCTTTGTCTCTGCAAATTTCAATACCATCTACATTTACACAGCTGAGGTAAGACCTTCTTGAACCCATGAACCGTGGAGAGGACGGCTATGTAACTGGTAGTTTCTGTTAAGATGGGAAATGTAGAATGGAAGTGCAATCCTATGCATATTTACTTGTTAGACTAATTGAGTTCAAGGAGAATTACTGTCATAGAAGTGTGCACAGCATTACCATTATTATTATACCCCCCTAATCTGGCATCTTCCAGACGTGTTGGACTGCAACTCTCAGTCATGTCTGAAGGGCACCAGGTTGGGAAAGTCTGCAGTATTAGCTGGGTAGGTGGAATGAATAGCTGGGAGGTGATGCTAACAATACTTCTATCCAACCTCTGGACTTGGATAGGAGCGATCTATTTCAGCTGGACCTGATCAAACAATGCATCCAGTCTAATGAGAAGACAGTTGTCATTGACTGAAGGGTCTGAGATTTAGGGGTGGAGGATAGCATTTTACTTACTTGCTCCTGTCTGTATCATGTTTCCTTTTGTAAAGGAACAGACAACATGAAAAGTCTTTGTTTTTCTTGAATTCATAAACAAGTCCAAATGATTAAGTAGCTCATACAGATTGGAGAACAGAAATCCATTTGAGCAGTATCCTTTTAGATATATATTAAATAATTATTTGATATTAGCTATATTTTTAGTATTTCCAAACTCCAGTTTTTTGCTGAATCAATGTTTAGGCTATGCAGTTTAGGCTATGTTTGTTGTTAAAGGGTACAATTAGTACTATTCATGATTTATCATGCTAAACTAAATGAAAACAACCCAAAGAAAGATAACCAGTTTTAAAATTGACCTGTTCCTCTTACCATTTGAAATAAATGGAACTTCTTGACTTTTTGAAGATTGTGTGCCACATTTTTACTGAAATCTTTTCAGCACCGAGTTTTTGCACAAGTGGGGAATCTGTGACAGCCCAGAAGGTGTTTGACTCCAACTTCCATGAGCCACAACCAGTATGCCCAATAATCAAGGATGGTGAGAGCTGTAGTCAATCAACATCTGTAGGGCCAGATGTTCTCCATGTTCAGCAGAATGATGAATTTGTTTCTACACATTACAAAGTACAGAATCACAAACAGCATCTGCTATATGTATGTAAAATAGCTCAGGGTGGGGAAAGATTTTTCTGAGGCCAACCATGGAAGTTTCAGGTCCCACCCGCATTCCTTTGTTTGCAGCTGTAAACTGAATGACTATCTCCAGAGAAGGGCTTACTGCCCAAGTGCCCTTTGCTTCTGTCTACTGATCTTCAAAGTACAACCCCACTTATATAGTATTATATATTACTGTCTTATAGGTTTATCCAACAACAATGAGAGCTCTGGGACTGGGGACCAGCGGTTCCCTAGGTCGCATTGGTGCCATGGTGGCACCTTTTATAGCACAAGTAAGGCACCGTTCTTTTAATCAGTTCAGATTGTCTGCAAGAACAAACTTCAGCAAGTATCTTCCAATCAACTGTATCAAGTGTGCGATCTTCCCAAGCCTGAAATCATGTGCATTTAGGTTCAGGTTTTAAAAAGGAACAGGGAAAGCTGAAGCTGAGGTTCTATTGTATTTCAATGTATTTTATTGTGTTGTAAGCCGCCCCGAGGCTTCAGCAAGGGGCGGCATAGAAATGTAGTAGTAATAATAATAATAATAATAATAATAATAATAATAATAATAATAATAATAATATCATCTCAAAGAGGAGCTGCTAAGCTAGAGTGGTCCGACTGGGTTCAGCATGACTAGAAGTTGCCTAGAATACTAAATCCAGTTCTCGGCTCAGCAGCAATAAAGGAGACGCTGGACAAAGTTTTGAATTATAAAAATTTAAGATAAAGGATTTTTAAAATGGGGAATCACTAGGACAAATGGTAGGATCAGCATTTTTATTAAAGCTTAGAGAGTACCGAGTTGGCAAAAAGTCTGAGGGCTAGTACTCAGTTCTTTCGTAAGGCAGTTGAAAGGGATTTGATGGGCAGGAGAAATAAAATTCCATTACTAATCATCCCTAGATATTGTTTTAAAAATAAGATATTAATTTACCAAAATATGTATTAAAATGTGCTTTAGGCTAAAATGCACATAACATGCATGTTTCAGAATAAAAAAGGCTACAAAATGCATGTGTGATAAATATATATAAAAATGAGAATTATGCAATTAAACACTTGAAGTTAAAATAGAACCAAATTAATGTATAAATGAATATGCATGAAGCAATTCAAAATAGATGAACCTGTCCTTGGATAGTTGCCAATATACTTTACTTAGAAGAAGTTAAGAGTTATCAATGGATCTTTCAAATGCTAGTTTTCAGAATTGCATGAAAATAGTGTGCTAATAAACTGTTTATTTCTAGGTGCTTCTGAATGCCTCTTTCTTGGGAGCACTTTGCCTTTTTGCTTTGGTTTGTGTTTTGTGCGCTATCTCTGCTTTCACTCTACCCATAGAGACCAAAGAAAGAGCACTTCAGGTATGTATCTTGTCTTCAGTATTGCAGAGGCCAACTTCTGAATGGAAAGGGTTAACTGAGGCAGTTTCCCCTGGCCTGCCTTCCATTCTAAAAAAAGCCTTGTAGGAGCCATTTCTACAGGAGGTGTTGGTCACTTTAAATGTCTTGTCTTTGCTCACTTGAACAAAATGTGCCAGTTAGGGCTCCTGTTATTTGTATCATAAGCCAAGTATGAGCTGGTCCATATAAATTAACAATTCAATCCAGCAAAGGAACCACAAGTAGAAATGCAGATCTCTCTCTCTCTCTCTCTCTCTCTCTCTCTCTCTCTCTCTCTCTCTCCACATTCTGTGCACCATTTTAAGCTAGCTGTTTGAATCTATGGATGCAAACATGTATTACCTTATTTGACAAACAGCCATCAAGGTGGGGCACAAGAATTTAAGACTAAAGCCTTAGATCAATAAATATAAGAATGTTAAACTACATAATTTGAAGGCTCAATTAAAGAGATGTATATTGTCACACCATTGCTGGTGGGGGCCAATTATAGTTCTTGAGGGAGAATTTGGAGAGCAACACAGGAGAAAGGACGTGTACCTCACCAACTGGTCTCTATGGTGTTGATGCCATACAAAGGGCTTCTCCTGAAGACACTGGCTAGTTCACCGGGAGGCAGGCAGTCCTTTAACCAGTTGCTAAGTCATTTACCTTTTCAGAGATTAAAAACACCTTGAACTGAGTAAAGGAGCAACTGGCAACCAGTGTAGGGCTTTCAATACAGGTGTAATATGGTTGTGATACTGTACGCTGGTTAGCTGCATTTTGCACCAACTGCTGCTTCCAGACATGTATTAAGAAGTATGTTGCTAGTCTGAAGGCAGCAAGGCACATGGAAACCTGTTGCCAAGTCAGCATGGATAATGGCCTGAGGAAGCATCACAGCTCACACACAGAGCTGAATGGTGCAAACACTTCTTGCAACTGCTGCCAAATGACGATCCAGGGACAGCGTCAGATAAAGGAGCACTTCTAACCTATGAATCTTTATTGGCTTTCTACTGACCAAAAACATCTCCACCTTGATTGGGTTTAAACTCAGTTTGTTCCTTCTCATCCAGCTCATTGTTGAACCCAAACACCTTTCAAGGGTTCCTACTCTTCCCTGGTGTTCAGTGACAAAAAGGGCATTGAGAACATAGTGTTGGCAAGCTTTGAATGTCCTCTCCCAGCAGTTTATATGAAAAGCTAAATAACATGGTGGAAAGAGCAGAGCCCTGGTGGGACACTATAAGTCAACAGCTGTGGCATCTAACCATACTTTCCAGGCACCACCTTCTCCATTCAAGCAAACAGAAGGAACACAAACCACAGCAAAACATGCAGTTCAGAGGCAAACTGTGGTCAAGCGTATTGAAAGCTGCCAAGCAGTCCAGCAGTTCGCTACCCCTTAGTGATTCCTAGTGAAGGTTAGTCAGCAAACCAACCAGCAGTTTCAGTTACATATCCTGTCTGAAAGTCTGACTGAAATGAATGATTTCAGCATCATCAGGTACATCTGGAGTATCAATGCTACTATCATTCTGATAAGCTTACAAGCCTTATAAGCACAAGTTTGCACCATTCAAGCATAATAAATACAAAAAATAGGCATTATTAGGTAGTGGAATCAAGTAAGCCAACATGAGTCATGTTGCAATATATTCCCACCCACAACAGAAATACTCCTATTCAGGGCACCTGTCACTGGAGAAGACAAGTCTTGTAATGAGAACCTCCTATGGGGGAGGTTTTAGAGGTGAGGAAAAGCTAACTTTTCACTTTCTTCAAACCTTCCCCATACTGTCCTCTATAATGCTATATGGCTCAGTTTTGAAGTTGGATGCTAGCTCCCAACATGCTTTATTGCTATATCAGGGCATGTTTCTGAAGACTGGGAAAGAGTAAGTCTGTTAATCCAAAGTGTGGGGGAAGTTATTTTTGTTTTACCCTTACAGTGCTTCTCTCCCTCACATGAACTCTACCTCTCTTTCAGGGTGCATAAGCAATCAGGCAAATTCTATCTCCCCACCCTTTTCCTGTTATTTCCATCCTCCTCAATTGACAATAGAATTTGTGGAAATGTGTTAGTCTCTCTTTCTGTAGTTTTTACAAACTAGTATTTCTTAACATCTAAATCCCACAAGTATATAGAAAAGTGCCTGTGGGTAGTTAGTTTGGTATTAGAAGGATAATAATGTGCAAAATATGAAAACATCCACAAAATATCTCCCATTTCTAATAATGTACACAGCAAATAAAAATTTATGCTTCCCATTGTGAAACAACTTTAGGTAAGTTGTCTATTTTCCCAGGTTTGATGAAGTTTTAATTCATCTGATATATAAAAACAATATAGATGAAATAATATTTTAATAACGCATACCACTGCAAATCAACTGAGTGGAAGGGGGGGCAATGAAATGGAGGAAGGAAACTCCCAAGAGAGTAATTTAAGAGAGCCACGTCAGCTGACATTTCTGCACTTGCAGATGCTCAAATATTAATCACTTAGTAGTATTAAATTTTCACTGAAAAGGTGGCACTATTTAAGTCTCACCTATGCAAGAATACAATTGTAGTCTCCTATTCATAATTACCTTATAATGTGCTTTTTTGTTGGTTTTTTTTAGCAAATGAAATGATGACATGACCACTTGAAAGAGAAAAATGTAAGAGACTGTTATATTGTATCTGCCCAACTAAGTCCATTTCTGGAGAGTAGTTTTCCGCCAACATGTATTAAAATATAATAAAGACACACAATTCATTTTAATAAACCAGACTCATTTCTATTACCTCAAAATAAATGTAATCTTTGCATTGTGCAAATGAAAAAAAAATTGTCAGTGACCAATATGACGACTAATTACTGTGCTTTCTCAAGATTGGGTTACTGTCGAATGACTTGTCTTATTTATGCAAGCCAACGTTGCGGTGGGCCCTGCATATATAAGACCCTGCTATACAAGGATTTCATGGCTAAATACTTCCCTGTCAAAACAGCTTATTCAACTTTCTGAAACTTATTTAACTTGCTTTTAAATCCTTCCTTTTGACAGCTGCCAACCCCTCCATGCTTCCAAAAATCGTGTGGGATGCACATTTCTCCTTTCCAGAACACCTAGAGCAGGGGTCGGCAAGCTTTAACACTCAAAGAGCCATTTGGACACGTTTCCCACACAAAAGAAAACACCGGGAGCTGCAAAATCCTTTTGACAGCTAAAATGAAGACAACATTGCATATATCTTTTTTTTTAATGCATAAAAAAATTTAAGCCGATATGCACCGGGTTTTAATATTTTTAGTGTATAAATTTTTATATGATTTTGTTTGTTTTTGTTGTGAGCCGCCCCGAGGCTTTGTTGCGATGGGGGTGACATAGAAATGTTTTAAATAAATAAGTAAATAAAAATATTGTTTTACCTTAATGCTATGTATATCTTCATTATGATTTAGCTGCAGCTCTTGTTCAATCACTAAAAACTGTTATTTTTAATCTTACATTATAAACTAGTAGGACTCCTTTCATATAGTTTGAATAGGAGAACAGCTTCCTGCAAAGTCAAAGTCAGTGCTAAAGGGCTGCATGCATTAAACAGCAAACCCCATTAGTTTGTCAGCAGTAAAAGCAAATGAATCTACCCACGTATCATTAAATGTTTTTCTTCAGAAACTTTTCTTTTCTTTGATTAATCCATGGTTAGCCTACCGGGGAGGGGGGGAGCTCAGTAAATCAGCGCAGGTCCGCAGATCGAGATATATACGTGTGTTTAGTGACTGATTAGCAGATAAACAGTCAAGTGCTGTGAATTGTGACAGGTCCCAAGCACAGCTTTTAACATTCAGATGAAGAAGATTACACTGGGGCAAAGAGAATCTTTTCAGCAGGGTTTCATGTAACATGAGAGCCTGCAGGAAGCTTGTTTAGCAGAGGAATGTAGTGATTTACTTAACTAGCTAGCACTGCGTTCCTGAGTGGAGCTTCGAGCAGATCAGTGGCTGTGCCGGCACGTGTTTTGAGTGACGGAGCTGCAGCAGAGGGGCTCTGGAGCCATGTGCGGCTCTGGAGCCACGGGTTGCTGACCCCTGACCTGGAGTCACAGGAAAGGGTAGAAAAGGTGGAGGACATTGAAAACAGTCAAATCTACAGATCAGAACTAGACAATCCAGACTTACATAGCTGAATTAAGTTCTTGGTTGGTGAACTTTTATGATTTTTATTAAAGGCATATGATTTTTCTTATGTCCACAGTAAGACACACAGACATTGTTGTTCAAAGTACTTTAATTTGTCTCTCCACTCCTTACATTTTAGAGCACAAGGAGTCCTCTGGGAACAACTAAAATTTCATTGTACCTGTCAGTATCCTAGGACAATATCAAATCATGTGCTTTTCTCTTCCAATGGCTAATGGTTATTTACAGTACAAAGAACTGAAATTATGGCCAGCCACATGCCTTTGGTAAGGTAATTTCTAGTCATTTTTTTTAAGCCACATATAGATTCCTTTCCAACTTTTGTATCTTTTCTAAATAAAAGATTTATTACCTTAGAGTGGTGGTACAATTAACTTTCAAAACAAGGGCAAAATTTATAGAAATTTTCTAAAGCCTCCTACATGCCTGTCCTTGGCAGATCTGTCTCCTAGTAAATGCCCAAATGTGTATAAGTCGATGTTCTCAAAAAATTATCCAAAAAAGAGAAGTTGATAAATACTTAAGTAAAAAAATTTTTTTAACAGTACATATTACCAATTCATTTTTAAAACTGGCATTCTTCCCATTTGAGGCGTTTTTTTCGTGGCTGCACAAAATCATCATCTGAGTCATCTGTTATGTCTGGACTATCTTTCTCAGCATGGCAATAAGGGTGGGCAGGGAATTTTCTATCTGGAAAAAGATTCTTCAGAAGTTCCTCAAAGTAGGCTTCCAGTTTCATGCCAGCATCAGCCACTTCCGAATCAGGCTGTTGGGGAAATTAAACATTCTAGTTTGTCATAGGTTTTATATTTGAAGAATGTGTCTCTAAAAATGAATTAATAAAAGAAATTCAAGGACAGTCAACATTTCCATTAGTAAATCAAAATATGATATGAATGCACTACAGATGATTTTATATTAAACATTTATACAAGAAGGGTACAATCCTTCTGACACTGGAGGTTCATAAGATTTTTCAGAGATGGGACTCCAAAGGCTGGGCCCCCAGACTCTGCCTGCCTTGCACCTGGAGTAGGAAAAAATGGGCACTGCCTGTTCTTGTGAAAGTCCAAATGAAGCCCAGAGAGAGGGAACAATGGTTGCTGGGGGTGATGCAGAGAATGCAGGGGGCAATCACCTCACTCCAACCACTGGATGCACAGAAATCTCTGATTTCAGAGGTTTACATGTCTCTGAAGCTGGAGGCATTGAATTACACCCTAAAGCTAGATTACATCAGCACCTTAGTTCTTTTCACTTCTCAGTTGAAAGCAAGCTTATTCACACAAACAGATTATGGTGAAAAAACAAAGCTCCAGTCACAATGCCTGAGAGTACAGTATCACCCCTGTTCATCCAAGGTAGTTATCACTTCTTTCCCTTCCACAGATATTCCTCACTACTACTAAATATGGTGGTTGAAAGAAAGTTTCTATGCCACCTAACATAAAGCAATTGCAATGCTAGAGAGACATTATGAAAAGAGACACATAATTACATTCAACATACAATTACCAGATGTTTGGCTCCACAATTACTATGGTGCCCAAAGTTCTATTCTGCAGCAATGGTACTTTCCTAGGAAAATATACACATGGATACACTGAAGTGTTTTCTAACCTCATTAAATTCAGCACAGTTTTGAAAGATCAGTCTGAAATCAGCCACCACATCTTCCGGTTTTGTGTATAGAGGGTGATGAATTTGCAATCTATTCTTGATTGTTGATAAGTCCATTGGCTTTTTAATTATTTTGTAGTAATCAGGCACCTAAACATGGATCATTATTTTCAAAAATTAACTTTAGTGTACTTTTTGCTGCATTTTCTGGGAAAGAAATCACAAGCAGCTGATTCTACTAGGTATGTAGAGAGATTTCTTCCTATTTTATTAATGAAAATAAATTATTATTGTTCAAGATGGCAATCATCCCTAGCAGCATTCACTTCAAAGACAGGCAGTAACTATTATTTATTGTTATTTAGTTATTTATAAAATTTGTATGCCGTCCAATTACTTATATCTCTGGATGGCTTACAGCATAAATAAATTGACCCACTCTGACTGCAAGTTAATAAAATACAATAATAAAATTCAATATTAAAATATATTAAAATATTGACTAAATAAAAAAGGTTTTAACCTGGCGCTGAAAAACATATAATGAAGAGAGATAAGAAAAAGACAAGAAACTGAAGTGTTGCATGAATAAATGGATTTTGCTAGCTGCACCAAAATATGAGATTTAAATGACATGTTTCTTACTATTGAGGTTTTCCTTCCTTCTTTGTGAATACTGAATTTATATGCTGAACTGAAATATACAGATTGGTTTACTTGAAGATGGGTACTAACAAAACCCTTGCAAATTACCAATGGCAAATAATCAAATGAAAAACATACCGTGGGAGGGACTGGATCTTGAAAAGCAAGGCTCATTTCATGGCAGTAAAGGTACAGTAGTAATCTTTCACACTTCTGCACAACAAATAGGAAATAAACACAGTTAGCGCCAAACACCAACCTAAAGAAGAGCTAAAACACCACAGTATTATCTGGAAAACAAAGTCTCCACTAATTGGCATATTTAAAATTTGGCCAGGGCAATTTGAACATTCTACACCACCTGCACATTTATTGGATCGTTATGAACCATTTTCTACATAAAGCAAACTTGGAAAAGATAGTAACAAAGATCAGCCTGAGTACTATACAAACCTGATTCCAAGTTGAAGCATAAGAGATAGTGTCATGCATCTCATTTATCCACAACTCACTGTTTAAAAGACTACTAAATGATGAAATTAATCTGGGACAATGAAGAGACTGTGATTCTGGAGTATTAACACATGTTCACTGAGATACCTGAACAATAAAGTATGTAAATGTACATGACCAGGTCAGATATGTAAAATTAAAGTGTCTTCTGGATATATTCTCAGGTTCTCAATACTTACTAATGAACTACTGATTGTTGTAGCAATATGCCATTTTTCAAGAAGAATTTAAAATGAACACAGTGCAATTATATGACTATGTTCTCACCCTTCGATCTATGGGTGCCAACCCTGTACTGCCTTCCAGTTTTCGTTTTTCTTCAGACGCATGACTTAGGCCATCACAATCATATTCTATTTCTGGTTTAGACAAATCACGGCAAAATGTGCAAATCCATTCTCCACTAAACAAAGAAGAAAATAGTATGGTATCACTTTATATTCTTGGGTTCTGCATCCTTCTAGACAAACTTTTTCATCCATATTTTATAAAGTGTTTAGAAAAAGATGTTGTTGTTAGTGGCAAAGTCGTGTCCGACCCATCGCGACCCCATGGACAACATTCCTCCAGGCCTTCCTGTCCTCTACCATCTCCCGGAGTCCACTTAAGCTCACACCAACTGCTTCAGTGACTCCATCTAGCCACCTCATTCTCTGCCGTCCCCTTCTTCTTTTGCCTTCAATAGTTCCCAGCATTAGGCTTCACTGGAGAAGGAAATGGCAACCCACTCCAGTATCTTTGCCATGAAAACCCCATGGACAGTACCAAAAGAAAACAATACTGAGATTTAATTTGTTCATTGTACAATACAAAAAAATAAAACAAAACAATAACAACCAAATTGCACCATAAGAAAAGAAGCAAAGATTAAAAGGGAGAGATAAAGAAAGAAAAAAGCACAATATTTTTGAATAGTATTTTAAAAATACAGGGATACATATGTAACCAGTCCTATGAATCGATTTTCCTTTAACTAAGGCTAAGATGAAGTCAAATGGCATCCTTTTTTTTTGCAGTTTGTAAATTTTAAATTTAATTCTTTAAAATTTCTTCACTCAAACAGTTTTTACTAATCATGTTCACACAACATGACAACCATTTACAAATAAGTGATGCATAGTGTGTCAATAAGGATCAACACGAATTCTTTTCTCCCTGCCCCCTTCCCCTCAGGCACTTAAGTGGCTTGCGTCCTCACTTCCACTTTCTGCTCACAAGCACTTTTGTGCTTGTCAGAGCATTTTCCCCTCCCTCCCTCTTTCCCTAGAGACTTGTTTTCACTATCTGCAAAATGACAGGCCCTCCAAAGTGCCCAGGTGGCACACTGCAGTGGCTGTCACTGGGTTGGCATATTTTTTAAAAAATTGCACCCCAAACCCTAAATGCAATCTAGAAACTTTTCAGTGGAACTCACAGAGTAGTCTGGGATTTGTTGATTCCCATTTCACTAAACAGAGCCTGCGCCCTACTGAAGAAACATTTTGAGTTGTATGCCAGGCACTTGAAGATAACATTATTCAGGTTCAGAATGAGCTTGACACCAGTATTGGTGCAGCTCCTGTTGAAGTACTTAATGGACAGTCTGGTCCCATGGTCCCATACTATTCAGCTGTTGTTGTCTGTTGGCATGGACAAGGTACTTGCAGACAGGGTCCAATTACATTTCCTATCAACCTTTATCCTTCATGGCTAATCCAAATAAGTGTGACTTGATAAATCAAAGTTGTGGTTAATGCATCATTACATGAAGTGGTGATGCCTACTGCCTTGAAAGAGGCAAAAGAACAATCACTTATAAGGTTCTGGCAAAACAACTGTAGAGACCCTAGATGTATTTCAGTCTGGAAGTAGATCTGGCTTTGGGGCAAAACTAGACTTCATTGCCCTGATGGATGACCTCTACCAGGAATGTGATAGTGTTATTCCTGCTTTCATTAGCTTTCTAACTACCAACAATGGTATCCTCCTCGATAGATTCTGGTGATTGGAGCACTATACTGCACCAACCAGTGGGATTTCAGACAGTAGTATTGGGTAACTGTTGCTTAGAACCATGGAGATGGTCTATGGACTTCTGCAGAGTACTATCATCGTCCCTGTGCTTTTTAAGGTCTTTATGAAGCCACTGGGCATGGTCACCAGTGTGGTGTCATCAATATGGTGATGGCATTCAACTCTATTTCAGGCATGGCTGTTGAGGTCTTAGGAAAAGCAAGAAAACAGGGATGGGCATAAATCACAGGAAGATAGAGGCATGGGACAGGTACTTCTTGGGTCTAGGAGACAAGACTGGTCAATAACCCCTTCTGGACAGGGCTGAACTCCTTTGAAAGAACATGCACAGGTTGGGAGTACTCCTGCATTCACCAACTGAAACCAAGGTGACCTTTATGGCTAGAAGTGCCTTTTTGGCCAGTACAGCACCTGTTCCAGGTAGGGATAACTTTACCACAGTGATCTATGCATTGATAACCTCAAGAATGGATTGCAATGTTACAGTGGCAGTCCATAGACTAGCAGGCCAAGTTTCAAATGCTGATACTAGGGTACTTGACTAAACAATTTAGGACCAGGTTTCTTTAGAGCCTACCTTGTCCCTTATACCCTTTTTGATCTTTAGGGAAGGCCTTCTTGTGGTTCTGTGTGTTTCTCAGATTAATCTGGCAGCCACTCAGAAAAAGGTATTTACTGTAATTACTCCTGTCCTTTAAAATATTCTTAATAAGGAATTAAGACCTCTGTTAACAATTGCAAATTCTAGATGCATGCTGAAAATGAGATGTTTTCAGATTAGTTTTTCTTGATCAAGAATATGGCTGGTTTTTATATATTCTTTTATATATCATATTTTAAATTATTCTTATATTGTGTATTTTCATGTTTGTGGCTGTGTTCTTCACACTGTTTTAGTAATTAGTTATTAAATAAATAATCATAATCATACTATTTCAAATGCAAGTCTAACAGATTTACCTTGGAAAATTCCTGAGTATAGGAACATGACAAGAAAGGTGGAACACTTTAGGACATTTGTCACAGCACAAGAGTTCTCCTCCATTTTGACATACTGCACACCAGTCCTCATTTGGGTCATCATCTTTCCTGCTGTCTCCAACGTGAGGAGCCCCTATCCATGCTGCTTTACCATTGGATGGCTGGTCACCTGTACTGTCTGGTGCTTCAGTTCTCAAGACTGTTGCTTCAGAGGAGCGCTTGCTATTTAGTAACATTGAGGTAAGCAAAGTTCTTTGAAACCTAGACTGTACAAAAAGAAACAATGTCTCATCTGACAAAACAGAGCAATTTAAAATGCATGATGGCACACACACATACATGAGAACATACAAACACACACACAGATAGTTGGCAATTATGAACCAACTACTGTAACTGGATGAACTTATGACCTTAGAAAGAGACTGCAACATAAAAAACCTTGGCCATTTTGATCCTGAATGCAAAAGACCAGACAGTATGGGTGCTACTTGATTCTCTAAAGATCAAGGTGATAAGCTTAATTTTCACTAGGTGTTTCTCTTTGCAGTTTAACCTAACAAAAACCCTTAAAAGAATTTTAGCAATTCAACAAATTTCCAAGGAAATTTATAGTTACCCTCCTGTACTCATTTTTTATATTTGGTAACACAAATATTTTATATTATAAATTATTTTCATAATTGTAATTACATTTTGATTGCGGGATTCTTCATCTGTTTCTTGCTTCACTATTACAACTGGGAAATCATAGTTCTCACTTGGCATGCCAGACTCTTGCTTTATTCTGATAGGCTCCAACATGACCACGGGGACTCTTTGGGTTGAATCAGCACCTGATGGTTTGCTAGAGGAGCCTGAACTGTAACAAGAGGAGGAGGAGGAAACAATGTAGCAGCAGCGGCAGGAAAAAGAGGTAAGATTAAGCAAGTTCAAAATGAAACTGTTGTGACATATTCTGGATTATTTGAATCAGGGTGCAAAAGCACTGCATGAAGATATTATCATTTGGTGAGGTCAGACACTATTAGATGCGGTTTGAAAGACTCAGCTCCATGTGTTGATTTTTCCAAGTATAATTGTTCAAAATTTGTATTTCAGCAATGACTGCACATAAATCCCAATTTTTAAAAGGAAAAAACCCACCCTGAAAGCAGTGCAGGGGGTTACAAGAAAAACAAGTTCCTTCATGAATTTCAAATGTAAAATTAAAGAGATTTGGACTTCCATTCATTTCTACAAGATAAGAAACGTATAAGCAGACCTCAGGGAAAGTGTGAGCTTGCATGAAACACATGTCACTGAGCCTTAGCCATTGCCTCCTCCTGCATGATCCCAGATGCTAGCTTCTTTGCTTTTTGCTTAACTAGGAGACCAGAAAATGGGATGGGGATTTTACACTCAAGCCAAGGCTGATATAAACTTCTGAACACTGACCATATGCTGTGTCAAGTATTTTGTTTCACACTCTAGAACAGTGTTTTGGTTTTTTGGCCATCTTTGTATCACAGCTAATTTATATACAACAGATTAATTTGTTCAAAATGATGAAATGTTAGTCTATCTTAGTGTATCAATATTTATCATTTTGGTCAGGTAATCCATGTTACCTGCTTTTTCACAAGTATGAAGGAACAATCACCAAAGAGGTCTATGTTTTAGATATTTAAAAAACTGTATGTTTTACACCCAGTATATTCTAATCTTCCATTAATATGCAGGCAATCCTGTGATTTTTCCCCCTGGGAACTCTTCTTCATAAATGTACTTCTAATTTAATCATGGTTGTATTAAAAGGACTATGGATTTATATTTAACAAGCCAATTCCTCATGTTGCATGAGGAGTTAGCTTTATAAATTAAGTTATTTGAGACTGAAGTCCAAACTGGCAGTTGTCCACACAAAATATCTATAGAAATCAGTAAAGTATAGCTGAATCCAGTGATGGAGAACCTTTTAGAGACCAAGTACCCAAACTGCAACCCAAAACCCACTTATTTATCGCAAAGTGCCAATACTACAATAAAACCTGAATACTGAGGTTTTGGTTTAGAAAAATCAACTCACAGCTGCAAGCAAATCTCTCTCTCTCTCTCTCTCTCTCTCTCTCCTTGGCAACGCACTGAACAGCGATGTGAAAGCTTGGACAAATCGTGGCTAATGAGTCGTGGCTCATGACATCATCACCTGGTGCCGCTACTCCTTTCCGAGCATGCACATGGCCCCTATGAGCACTGTTATCTGATGCACGGCTACTAGGGTGATCCTGGCATGACATGGCTCACGTGCCAACAGAGAGGGCTCTCCATGCCCGCTGTGGAACGAGTGCCATAGGTTCACCACCACTGCCCTAACCCTACCCTGCACACCCCCAACCCTAATAGAGGGTGAAAGTTCCACTGAAAATAGGCCCATTTTCAAAAAGCCTTCCTTGAGAAGCTTTTTCTGCACAGCTCAACATTTCTGCTCATTCTAAACACATTCCTACCATCAAAATCATGCCAGGACACCTTGTTTTTCTTATGCTAACCCTACCCTGGTGCACACCCCGAACCCTAACACAGGGCTAAAGTTTAATTGAAAAGAGGATGATTTTGAAAAAGGCTTCCTTGAGTAGCTTTTTCTGCACAGCTCATCATTTTTGCCCATTCTGAACACATTCCAGCCATCAAAATCATGCCAGGACACCTTGTTTTTCTAACCCTAACACAGTGATCATGACCCTTTTGAGACCGAGTACCCAAACTGCAACCCAAAACCCACACTGCAATGAAACCTGAAAACTGAGGGTTTTAGTTTAGAAAAAACAACTTACAGCCAGTCCAAGGAAATATATATATATCCTTGGCAGCGCACTGACCAGCCATGCGAAAGCTCGGACAAGTTGTGGCTAATGAGTCGCGGCTTGTGATGTCATCGCCTGGCACCACTACTCCTTTTTGAGCATGCGCACAGCCCCTGTGTGCACTGTTATCTGATGCTTGGCTGCCGGGGTGACTTTGCTCGCATGCCGACAGAGAGGGTTCTGTGTGCCCGCTGTGGCACACGTGCCATAGGTTTGCCACCACTGGCCCAATCCATACTAGCACCTCATGATTTGTTATACCCTTGTTTAGAAAGCAGCTTGCTTTTCTTACTTATCAGTAATTAGAGGGTACAAATTTCTTTTTATTGGTTTGAGAGGTTGCTTACTATTTATCTTCATGACTTCAGTTCAGTGGCACATGTTCCCATTAGTGGAGGCTGCTTGTATTTTATGGTGAATTGTGCCCTTGTATACTTAAGAGAAGAAAATGCACAGCAGCAGATGAATGCAATTGATTGTATTCATTAAACTATTGTAGTAAACAAATGCAACTCAAAACTGACCATTGTATACTGTTGTGGTTATTATAGTAAGTCAGGTGGCAATTTTTTCCCCTTTAGAAGTACAACTGTCCTATTAGATCTTTATTGCCTGAAGTGAAAATAAAATCTTAATTGGTTAACTGACAAAATTTTTTTCAGGATCATTCTTTCTGCTTACCTGCCTCGACTTCCAACACTAGAGGCACTGGGTGAGCGAATTGGAGGATGGACACCAGAAATAGTACCCGGCCCTAAATCATGATGGCAAAAGATCAGAAACTACTAGTCTTACCATGTAAGCTATTTTTATTTTAAATTGTGCATAAGCTTTTAACACTTCAATCTAAAGTACATTTAATTCCCCCTGCAATACTGAAACCATGATGAGCAAAAGGATATTATGTGCACTGAGCCTCCTTACTGTACAGGTCAGAAGACTTGGTGACATATCTATACAAGAGTTAGAAATATTTTCTTCAAAGTTCCTTCCATGCTGCAAATTACATAAATTGGATTCTAGTCCTGTATCTAGTGTAGCCCATTAAAAATCATAAGAATCCAGCATCCTTTTCTCCCTTAAAACAAGTTTTGTCATGACTGCAGAAGTGTGAAAAACCCCAGCAGTCAAGGTAAGCAGCTGATCTACCCTTTGAACTGGGACTCGCATTATAATTAACAGGGATGCTCAATGTGAAGGTCTGTCCTTCCATTCTTTTAGCAAGATAAACTACCTAGGGAAGCTGAAGTATTCCCTTCCTTAGAAATTTTTCAAGGAATCTGCTGGGGTGATCCACTGTACTTGTATATTAATTCTGTCTGTCAACACCATTGCATCTCTAGCTCATGCTTGATTTCACACACTGAATCTTTGTCCTTCCTATTGGTCACCTCCAATCTTTGATCTATGGTACAACTTCTTGGGGACTGGGGTTGCATTTGCTTCTCGTTATGATAATCTTTCTCTCACTGTTTCTGCATTTTTAGTGTATTTTATCCAACATTTAATATGGGCTACTCCTTTTGACTGTTCTATCTCACATTCAAGTATAGGCTGCTTCATTTATTTCATTTGATTTTTCCTACATCCCATGATCTCTCATTTTTTTCCAACTCTTTCTGGTTTACTAGTTAATCAAGTCACAGATCTCTACTTCACTTAGAGTGCAATCCTATGGCTGACAGACACTGACTTCCATAAAAAAAGCAGAGTTCCTGCTGTCTCTCCTGCTCAGAAAAGCCTACAACCTCAGAAAATCCTCAGAAAAGGAGGGATTCTGCCTTCAGAGCCCCTCTCCCAGGTTCCCTCAGTGCTGACTAGAGCCCCAAAGACAGAAGTTCACCTTCAGGACAAGCACTGGGGAAAGGAGTTCAGACAACAGAACAGGGAGGAGCAAGGCACCTCCAGCTTCCACCAAATCAAACTGATGCCTCAGCCCCTCACAGAAGGAGGAGATAGCTAACTAAATATTGAGAACTAGGGGAACGCAGAGGTAATCCTTGTCTCTGTGCTCCTCTTGCACTTGAACAGATGCCTAAAACCTTCTGAGTGCAAAAGTTACAGGAAGCACAAAGGACCCTGTCCTTATTCATTTATACCCATTGTTTTCTTGCTTCATTTTATGGGTAAGTATTCTTTAGCGTCTCCCTGTGTTACACTGCTATATTTTCCTTCAAAAAACTTCTTAGATCTCTATAAGCTTTCCTCTCCTTACAGATATCAGACAACCAGCAAGAACATCCATCCATACTAATTACACTCTTTCTATTCCATTACTTATTTTGATGATTGTTCTTCTTCTCGATCCTTATTTATTATTTGATATCTGGCCCGCCCCATTAGCCACATGGTTCCCTGGGTGGGTTTCAAGCATTGTCTCTTTTATTACTTTCTAAGACATTGGCAGTGCAATATTAGGAGCCAAATAAATAAGAAACAATAACCTGAAAGGCCTGGAGATGGCACAGAGGAATTTGGGGACTGGACGGTCTTGCGTGAAGGAGGTTTGGGATGGCTCTGCTCCACAATTGTCTCTCTCCTTCCAATGTTTTCCAGGGAAATGGTTCCTGAACAGTCAATCTTTAAATAATGAAAGATAGATAAATAGCAGAGAATCATGCTGCGATCTTCCATTAATCACTCATTCTGGGACTACAGCAAATAAAACACAGAAAATATACTACTGATGGCAATACAACATACATATATGTCATCAGGCTGATGGTTCTGTGCTAACCAGTAAGAATGCCTCTATACCTGGGAGAAACCAGCTACTCAGAAAAAAATTGGTTTCAATCCCCCCTTCCCAAGGCCCACCCCAAGAATCAAGAAAAAGGGCTGTACAGTGCAAGCTGTCCATCTACTGAATGATCATTAAAAGTGGGGAATGAGGAAGAACTGGGGTTTTGCTCCAACCAGTTCTTTGAATTGTTAAGGGCTTTTCCTCCTTCACAAAGGACCTTGATGAGGTATTAACTGGATGAAAAGCACATTTTCTGGTCCTATTTATCCTCACTCTTCACCCAAAGAAATTCTAAGCTGTGAAGACAGAACCCCAAACAAGCTAAAGAATTTGGGGGGAGAGGGGAAAAAGACATATCATTAAGTATGCATTCTGTGACATGATCCCAATCCTCTCTTCCTATACTACTCACTTTGCCCACTTTTAGTTTGAAAAAATCCTAGAAGACAGATCTGCTAATTGGATGAAAAACTCTTTCCCTAAAAATGTACACAGATCCTACTACCCTGGTTGGAGTTATGTTTTGCTGCCAACCTCCTGGCTGGAGATTGTTATGTTCTTCTGGCACAAGACCTCCAGTTTGGTATCATCAAGTTTCTTAACCAGACTACCTATCAGGTTATATGTTAAATATAACCATTTGAGCACACAACTAAGGGAATCCCTCACAATTAGCCTCACAATTGCTCAATCTACAAATATTTTGCACAGCAAACAAGCAAAATGGCTACAGCTGATCTCAATATTCTGTTGGGAAGGCAACTTGGTGAGGGAACAATTCTAGACAAGAACAGATTCTGTGAACCCTAGTGGGGTTTTCTCTAATATTCCTAAGTCAGCAAAAAATAACTCATGGTAAGAATGCCTAAAAGAATTCTGTAATGAGAATCTGCGTGCACTACAAAGCTAGAGCAAAATCCACAAACTCACTACCATGAGAAAATATGGTAGCGAGTTTGATCACATAGTAACCTACAATTCTAATACAATAAACAAGCAACTGCTGGAACCTCACATATTATGGACTATTTGACCAGCAAGTTGCCAGGTTCCAGTTCTGCCAAGACAACATGGTTTTCTCAGAAAGTAATACAGATAAAGAGAGGTTTCATATGTATTTTGTGGAACACAGTAGAATGTCTATCTTACATCAGGAAGGGAAGGTAGTGAATAGGAACCACCCATTGTTGAAGTCAAATCAATCATAGGGGGGGCAAATGTCTTCCCATCATATCCAGCTGCGCTATTAATGGTGGGACTGGAGGGCGTTGATGTTGTACTGCTGGCATTTGAGGAAGCAGCTGAAGCATGTCCACTGTTGATTTGCCACTACAGGAAAGGGAGGATGTTATGGAACAAAGAGCTTATCATATGCACAGTAACAGAATATATTAAAACAGCAATGAGCACTGTGGGTCTGGATTTATACCATTTTGCCATTTAAAAAAAATGCTCATATTGATATAAGAAGGCTCTGTGAGCACAGTGCATAATTAACTGTTATAGGACAAATACTCCAAGATAATTTAAAGAATGGGATTGTCAATTTCTAAATCACTGCAAACATTTATTGATTGATTGATTGATTGATTGATTTATATCCTGCCTTTTTCCTACAAAGGGCTCAGGGCAGCTTACATCTTCTCCTCCATCTTATCCTCACAACAACAACCCTGTGAGGTAGGTTGGACTGAGTGTCTGTGACTGACCCAAAGTCACCCAGTTGGCTCCATGCAACATGCAAGTACAACATGCAAGTACAAAGATAATTATGCTTTACATTCATATATTGCTCATAGACACTGAGCTGTGAAAAAGAGCAGAAATATTTCCAATTTTTTCTATATGAAAAGATAAATACTATTAATAAATGTCTGTTTACTTTCTATTATAATTAATTCTTCTATGAAGAATATTTTCCCCTTCCCCTCACTGGTATATTTAAAACAGATTCAGTTAAAGCATTTCTCATTCATACTTGGAAGATTTATATTGTTCATGACAGTAATCTGTTCATTGCTCACTGACGGTCTTGACTAGTGCGAGGGGGCTGTTGTTTGTTTGTTGTGTGTGTGTGTGTGTGGGGGGGGGTTAATCATATCAAGAATATACCTGTTTAATAGCTTGCTGTGCCAAAAATGCCATCTGCAGTGGATTGGGCCTTACAGCTGACTGAGACATACTGTGGTTTTGAGGAAACCTCACTGGCTGAGCCAGAGGACCTGAGCCATTCGATTTGAGGTTGTGATTCTGAAAGTTAACCAAACGTGGAGGTGGCTGCTGGAAAGACAATACAAGGTGTTTAACTTTAATCCTTTTCCAAATTTGCATGTAATATACACAAATGAGGACTTGTGGTATTCATTCTCAACTCAGTAACTTGAGTGTCACCATCTGCTTCAAGAAGAAAAGCAATAGGACAAGAGAGTCCCTTAAAAAGTCTACTAACTTTCTAAGAACTCTAGAGAGGACACTGAATTCTTGAATGGATAAAAAGAACAATGGTAATCATACAATATGATGTCACTAAAATGCTGAAAAATGCAAAACCTGCTAATTCATATTGATGTATATAGATGTTATCCTGATGACTTCAGCTTTTCTCTATGAACAAAGTACAAGCAGTGGAGTGTCTTCTACTCTGGGACTTGCCTTAATTTACCTGAGGAGGAGGAAGTGGTGGTGGTGGTGGAGTCTGGTGCATGGGCCCTGAAATTCTAGGATTTGGGAGCCCCACTGGACCTGTCCTCCGTTGAGCCTGCTGTCTCTGGGCGAGGACCTGCTGCTGCATGTGCTGAAGTCGCAGCTGTGCTAAACTGATCTGTGTTGGGAACTTGGAGAGTTGATTTGATGGTAAGCCACTTTGTGGCTGTATGTTTGTCTCCATCACAGGGCTTTTAGGCATGTGTGGTGGGATCTCATTATCTTCAATAACCAAAGAACCTGGAAAAAATGATTATATTTACATGTAATAGTAAAAACGGCAATGCTATGTTCATGCAGCTATGAGACTACCTCAGATTAGCTATCTGTCATACAAATTAGGCTCACAGTCTCAATTCCTAAAAAATTCCCATAAGATGAAATATATCAAAAGGCTTAAACATACACATTTCAGGCTAAATAAATTGTATCTTTGAAAAATAAAAATTACCAGTTAAACCTATTTCTATATGTTTATTTGACAAATATAGCATTAATACCTTGTATTTTTCTTATTAATTGATCTGAATACTGTTCTTTTCACCTTGAATATTGGTGTTGTAACTCTTCATTACTCAAATATCTCTTCAGCTCATATAATACAGCTCTATAATCTAACACACTTTCTTTAGATACAGTCCAAATAATCTTGCGAGGTTTTTTTTTTAATATTGATTACCCAGAATTCATTGTGAACCTGCTTGTTCCTGTGGCAGCAACATGTGCCCCTCTTGATGTTATTGGGCTCCAGCTATCATTCCAGCCAACTGTGAGAGATGATAGGTGATGGACACTGCAGTTCATCAACTTTTGGAAGCCATAAGCACCCCACCCTTACATAATAAAAATCACTATTCTTATTATGCATATCTCCAAGTTCTTAATTTTGTATCACTGATCATCTTCAATTTTTCACTTGGTATTTCATAAAAAAGACTTCCTTGCTTGCTATGGTGGGGCAGGTTAGCAATTTCTACTAACCTTTCTAGCAATTCTAATAAGTTAAATTATTTACTGTTTTGAAATCCATGGCATCATATGTGACAAGCATACTTATCCAATGTGCTGTGTGTACCTGCAGTCATCAGGGGCTTCTATCATATGCATAGAGCTCAATGATGTGGGCAATCACAACCTACATAAAGAACATACAATGCCCTGCACAGAAGCGATATCTAGGAATTCATTATAAGCAGTGCTAGAGACAGAAAGGAAAACAGAACAACAATGGAACATGTGCACAATTATTCTTAGGATAATATTAAATTCACAGCAGAAGCATTCTCTAAGCATACCCCAGAATATTTGCTAAATCAATGAAACAGATAATTCACAGGGTAAACATGTTCTCCAAAATCAATACCATTCCCTACTAACAAAGATGCAAATAGAAATACATCATACCTAAGTTGAAGATATTTTGGGCCCAGAAACTAGGATCACAGTGAAACTGAATGGAGGCATTAGATACTGGTAAGGCATCACACCTTGCTCTAAGGAGGTATCGTAACCGATATGTAATCTAGAACAAATCAAGAATGTTGGATAAACATTAGACTTTAAAGATTTTTCCTCAGGACACTAACACTAAAATCAAGCTCAGAAATCAGTATTCAGCAGATCCTGCTAAAAGACATTTTTCTGCTAAGAGCAATTATAAAATTGCTTCAATTTTGTAATCAAATTGCCATGACTATTGCCATCCATGATAAATGTGTGGTAACCCTTTATCCTTACCAGGCGTTTGCTGTACAGTAATGCTATGCTACTACCACTGGAGACTGTCCATTTAGAAAAATTCATGACATGTTCCAGTTGCTTAGAAAGTCCTGCCACTTCCTGTTGTTGCTGTAGAAGCTTTCCTCGGTGTTCCTTAGCTAGACACTGCAAGGAAGAAAACCAAAGTCATAGATCTTTTGCTAATCCTGGCAGCAGATAAAACCTCTAATAGCACAATCCTATCAAAGAACATAAGAAAAGTCATGCTGGAACAAACCAATAGTCCATCCAGTCCAGCACTCCATTCACATGCTGACAAACCAGCTGTCCACAAGATTCTGCAGCAGGTTGAGTACAAGAGTTTTGCCTGCCAAAGCTTCTCAGTAAATGGTGGAACAGGCATACCATCACTGACAACATAGGCAGCACAGGGCCAACAAGGCTGTTATCCATTGACAATCCTCTCCTCCATCAATTTGTGCAATCCCCTTTTAAAGGCATCCAAGTTGGTGCCCATCACTACTTCCTATGACAGTGAATTCCAAAGTTAACTATGTCCTGTGTGATGGAGTATTTCCCTTTATCTGCCCTATATCTCCACCAATCAACTTCATGGGTTGACCGCAGGTTCTAGCATCATGGAAGAAGGAGAAAAATATTGTCTCCACCACCTTCACCTCACTGTGCGTAATTTTAAACACCTCTACCATGTCTCCCCTTACTTGCCTTTTTTCTAAGCTAAACAATCCTAAATGTTATAACCATTTTTCATGGGGGAGTTGCTCCAAGCCCTTCAATCATTTTAGCTGCCTTTCTCAATACTTTTGTCAACTTTATAATATCCCTTTTCAGGTGTGGCAACCAAAACAGTACACAATATTCTAAAGTACAGTCACACCAAAGATTTGTATGAGGGAAGAGCAATCAGTTTTATTTTCAATTCCTTTCTTAATTGTATCGAACATGGAGTGTGCCTTTTCACAGTAGCTGTAGACTTGGTTGATATTTTTTATCAAGTTGTCCATAATAAGATTCCTTTCCTGATTAATCATTGCTAGTTCAGATTCCATCAGTCTTAATCCCATCAGGCATTAAGTTACAACTTTCATTTGCCATTTTGATGCCCATTCTCCCAACTTGGAGAAATCCCTTTAGTTCTCTTGGTACAAAACCCTATGGGGCCTATTGTTTACTTCTGTCCATTGGGAGAAAGTACCATTTATTTCTACTTTCTGTGGCAGGCACTTTGAAGGAACATTTCCAAGGTAACCAAGTGCCTTAAACCTCTGATGATAGAATATCAAATCATAAGGGTGGGCCTCTTTCAATTGGTTTCTTTCAAACCTTTTGGTTTCTATAGGTGTATGATGAGGAGTGGGCCCAGAAACTGAATATTCCTCCCCAGGAAAAGTAATGAAGATGCATTTTACTTGATATTTTATCTTGTTCAAATGCACTGGTGATCTCCTGCTTCACATGCTGCCTTAACTGCAGTGACAAGGGCATATGAAGGAGAATGTGAGACTGAGGACTATTCTCAGTCCTTCTTAGGGTAGAATTTTAGGTGCAAGTAGCATCTGAATAGACCTAGTATTTCAGATGAAATGCAAGGAAGCGCTATTAAGTGAAGAGATTCTTCACATGCCAATCCTTATATAGCCAAAACGGCATCATTCACATACAAGAAGGAAGCCAGTATGTTTGGAGGGGGGGGGGGGGGAGAGAGAAACCCATTCTGCAGAAAAAGGAATGTCAGGCATCTCTTGAGAAGTGCATGGGAGAGGGAGGCCAAAAACCAAGGTGAGGGGGAATGGAATGGAGTAACCAGAAAGAATTCATAACTGGCTGGCTGAACAGGAGTACTCCACACTCAAATATTTTTATTGTAGATTATTCTCAAATTTCAAATTATCCAAAATGATCACATGCTAATCTGAAAGGGTGAGTTTCCATGATGACTATTCAAATGTGCACTTCAAAGAAAATAAACTATCCTGTAATATTTTTTGACATGAAATGCCTCCCATGAGGTATAAAAAAATCTTTCAAGTTGAAGGAAGCCAAAAAATCAAAGTTGTATCAATTTCTATGTATCTTCATCCAGTCTGAAGTATTTAGCAGTTAAGACTATTGTTTTATAAATGCTAATTGCTTTAAATAATAAAATCTAACAGGTACATTCAGATATTTTTAACAGTACATACTACCCAAGAATACCAAGAAAAGTATGTGCAATGCATCAGAGGTATTGTTAACATTACCCCTCAGGAAACTAAAATTTACCTCAAGCTGATGCAGTAATGCTTTCCCTTTTTTGTTTATTTCTACCATCAATGTGAAAATAGCAACTTTGATGTCCTGTTCCACCAACTTTTGATTTCGATTCATTTCTTGGATCCTATGCAATGTGAAAAATGTAGAAAAGCCATTTAAAATACTCAAAATGAGAAAGTGGCAAACAAACAAACTTTATTCTAAAGACAGTGGACACAATCTAGCAGAGTGTAGACATTACTAACCCCTGCTGAAATCAATGGAATGAGACAGCCAGGATATAGCTCCCCCCAATTTCGATGGGATTTTGTTGTGAGTTGCTTTTGAGCAGTTGTGCACATTAACTACCTGAGTTTTGGGAAAACATGAAAATAAAAAAGGGTTTAACTTTGCCTCAACAAAAAAATTAACTGTACAGAGTATTATGGTAACATGTACTCCAAGAAAGCTATATAAATAGAATATCTGGTGAAAATGATTAAGCATGACACTATTTGCAAATTTTAAAGGGCATACTTTCTATGTCAGTAAAACAAAATAGTTACACATAAGTGATTGGGCTCTACAATACCACAGAATGTAAAGTACAAAAACGACTGCAAATTATAAATTGAGTCTAACTGAGTCCTACAGTTCTTTAAACAAACAAAAATATATTATGCCACTGCAATATATATAAAATGATTATAACAGTTGTACAGGTATAACAGTCCACTAATTATGATGACCACAATTCCCACAACCATAGCACAAACTACAAGAACAACCTGCGCACAGTCACCATCTATCACAACTACATGACTGGAACAAAAATGATTAAAGAAAGCAACCTGGTGTGATTTTCTATCAGCCACAAAGACGACACCTCATCCTCTTTTTTTTAATTATTTTTTATTTTTACTTTTTGGAGCCAACAAGTTTAGACTGCCTCTGCTGATGTCCCTGACAAACTGGTCATGCATGAAGATTTGACCCAGGATTTTATAAACTTTAAACCGAGGGCTATTTGGAAGAGAGCGCTTTGGAATGTTCATCTGATTATAGAATGTTCAGCTTAAACACACTTTAAAAGCCAGTGTCCACTATATTTCAAAATCAGCATTGTTTGCATTTATAGTTAGTGTAAACTGTGCAGAAGAAGCTGACATTACAGGCTTCTGGCAACCAGAGGGAGCAGTTGGGGTGTTCTCGGCACAGTTAAACTAACCAAAACACACAGATTGTTTTAGGGTTCTGACGGTTAGCTAACTACACAAACAACACATCCTCACTGGGTTCAAATCACATGGCAACCTATGAAATGAGACTGTGTAACAGACATGGGTAATAGTTCAGCATACACAGCAAAACAGAGGTACTTATTTAAGTTAAAATGACTGAAAAGGATCATGTGACCCAAGTCTCTATCTACAATTGGAATTCTCTCTCTCTCTCAATGACCTGGTTCATATGATCCTAATAGCTCTTTGTTTATTTAAGTCACAGTGGGTTGAAGTGCATCCCAGCTACCAGTACCTGGGCACATAAGCGGGAAGATGCTATTATACGTACTCATGCTCTGCTTGTGGGTTTCCCATAGGCATCTGGTTGGCCAATATCAAAACAAAATGCTAGTTCAGCACAGCTCTTAGAACATTTTTCAGAACAGTAGTAGTAATAATAAGATGCAGTACCTCACTCCAGTTTACATTTGACGTGAACTGTCCTCAATTCACATTGCAATTTGGGATGTTGAACCTCTTTCATACTGACAGCTGAATTCCATTTCAGAGAACTTGGGGAAGGTGCATTCCAGTTGTGCATGAGACCAAAGGCAAAAGTACCAAAAATGCATGCATATTTTAGCTTAAACCTCTTACTGCCCAAAACTAAGTATTAGGAGAGGCATTTCAAACTTTTAGAATCAAGGGGGGAAAAACTGCACACAAGCCAGGAAACCAGAAAATGATCAAGGACTGAAGGAAGGGAACAGGGGAAGGAATGATGTCGTCTGAGGTATACTACAAAAGCAGACTGGGCCCCATAGCAGTGAAGGTTTGGCCTCTGGCCTGAGGTTTCGTACTCCTGTCTTACAGCAATTCAGTTAAGCTTACATTCTTAATTACTTTTATGCATCTATGTTAAACTATTATACTGTATAGAGTAGCTACAAAGTTCATAAAAGCAAACGAAACCAATTACAGGACTAGTTTAACAAGGGGAAATCTCACTTTCTCACCAATATACAACATGGAGAAGTTAATCTATTAACTAAATTCCTTCTATATACATCACATAAAATCTATATTTTCAATAGTTGCATAAAATAAATACCTGTTCTGAATCTGCTCTCCTGTATATTTTATATATTTGCTTTTTTCCATCAGCTTCGTTATAAGTGTGTCAATTATCACTTTTTGATTTTGAAAGGCTTCTTCTATAAACTGGTATCTGGAATAATAGAAAAATATACCACATGGTTAGTAGAAGTATTGTTCATCTAGGCTTACTAAAATAAAGAGGGCAACTGCTTAAAGGGAAAGAGAACTGCTTAAAAGGAAATGTATGACAATGTCTTGTGCTAGCAATTCTTCGTAAGAGAATATCTTGACCCAGAACCAAAATGCTGAATGGCAGCACCTTTTGGTCTTGTCCATGAGATACCAGATCATGGACAAATGGGACATTGTATCTTCTCATTCTTCGGCAGAGCAGCGTGTAAAAGGGGAGACAAACTTGGCCCTATACATTAGCCTGAAAGGGAACTTCTACTCCAGTGCTGGCTTTCCTATTTTGTCTCCATTCCTTCTCTATTGGATTTGGAACTTATGAGGAAAGAACATTTTTATATTCCAGTATCTGTACAGTACCTAGAAAATTTTAGGTGCTTTCCTAAAGTTAACAGTAGAGCAATCCTACTGTTAGGTGCAGATAATTCTGATGATGCAGCACCCAAGTAGCCCAAGCTCTGCAAGGCACATGCTGGCAGGAGATAAATGGGGAAGTAAGCACAATTTCTGCATTTCTTTTCAGAGTTCAATCTGCAGCTAGGTGAGAAACATGACTGGGGATTCAGGGGTCTCCCAGAACACTCACTGACATCCACACTCCTCCTGGCCTTGAAAGTTTCTAAGATGGCTGGAAGACAATTCCAAGGTCAAATCTCCCATTCTGAGACTGGATTTCACTTTCTCTACCTTAAGAGTGGAAGAACCAAAATTTCTTATGGTACTTAGGAGTCTTTCCTAGGGACTATAGGCTAGCACTATTGTAAGTTATCATGATAGTCATCTAATATTTGTAGGACACAAGAAGCACGTAGGAGCAAATACAATATTACACAGTAAAGCATTTGACATCTAAAGCTGCATAGCCTACTATCATATTTGAAGATAAGCATACAAAATTTCATCTTTTAGATTATTCATAACAAAGTAATTGTTTTTTGTAAATGGGGAAAAGTAAAATGGATAAGATATAAATATAATAGCATTATTATAGTAATTATTGTTATGGCAAATACTTTACCAATCCTGCTGTTTGTCCTAAGCGGTAAAAAAAAAAAAAAAATCAGTATGTTGAGAAAGTGTAGTGGTTTAGCATTATCCTTTTTATGAGGCAGCTTATCCTTTGAAAATTCAACATATAGAGCTATATGTTATTTAGATGTTTGTAATAAATTATGATATGCCTTTCTTACAGTTTGACCTTCATCTTATTTACTTGTAATTTATTTTAATACCTATGCTCTTTGTGTTCCAACAATTGGCAATCTCGACATGTCAGCTTGTCACAAGTTTCACAATAGAGTTTCAGCTGCTCTTTCTTGTGATAAGGGCAGAACACAGGTCGCTGATTGTTTACACCAACAGCCTCTGTAAAATAAGAAAAAGTGACTTTTTGAGTCTAGCTGAAATTTAATTACTACATTTCCCAACACATTTGCTTTCACTCAGAACTTGCAGCCACACTTTACTGCCTTTTTCAAACCCTGGGAGCAAAGAAGAGGTTCTTTTCCTTTGTCCCCTGCAATCTCAATCTTATCAGCATTCTCAGTATTGGGGGTGAAGAACCAGGGACTAAATCTGGAACTCCTGGGATTCTAATGTGTCCCCCTAAAGTTCCCCAGAAAGCCCAACCACAAATCATTTTGTGATTTCCAAAGCTTTGCACAAGTTACCCTTCACATTCCATGGTTGACTTGTCTCTCTTAAGGCTAGTAGTAAGGGCTTTATGTTGTAATATGCTGGCATTTTTAGAACCATCTAATTTGCATTTGCCACCTCCTCCTCAGTTACCCCACTCACACCTGGCAGGTGGTCTCCCAGAAGCTTTTCTGAATTGAATTCAGCTGAATTCCCGATTAGTTATTTGAGCATTGTTCAACCCTGCTGCCTGGGTTCAGAGGGTTGCAGCTAGAGATCTTATGCCAATCTTCGCTGGCATAAATAAGCTATGGTGGGCTGCGGTGACTGTTCAAACGAGATCACAGGCTTGCTGTCCACATTCAGAAATAATGCCTATTATATTTCACCTTGTAAAATAAAGTTAATTGATTTCATACAACTGCTTTTTTTCTGATCTATACGTCAGAGCATATAACCTTAAACAAAATAAATTGCTAGTACTGAAGAGTTAATTCTAGTCAGATTCTCACTTGCTCAATCTAGAATCAGAAATCATACATAAAATTAGCTTTCTGGATTTCGAAGAGGAAGAGGAACTAGAGATCAAATTTCCAACATACGTTGTATCATGGAGAAAACTAGGGAGTTCCAGAAAAACATCTACTTCTGCTTCATTGACTATGCCAAAGCCTTTGATTGTGTGGATCACAACAAATTGTGGCAAGTTCTTAAAGAGATGGGAGTACCAGACCATCTTATTTGTCTCTTGAGAAACCTATATGTGGGTCAAGAAGCAACAGTGAGAACTGGACACGGAACCACTGATTGGTTCAAAATTGAGAAAGGAGTTCGGCAAGGCTGTATATTGTCACCCTGCCTATTTAACTTATATGCAGAGCACATCATGAGAAAGGCGGGCCTAGATGAATCTCCAGTTGGAATTAAGATTGTTGGGAGAAATATCAACAACCTCAGATATGCAGATGATACCACTCTCATGGCAGAAAGTGAAGAGGAACTAAAGAGCCTCTTGATGCGGGTGAAGGAGGAGAGTGCAAAAGTTGGCTTAAAACTCAACATTAAGAAAACTAAGATCATGGCATCCAGTCCTCTCACTTCCTGGCAAATAGACGGGGAAGAAATGGAGGTAGTGACAGATTTTATTTTCCTGGGCTCCAAGATCACTGCAGATGGGGACTGCACCCAAGAAATTAAGAGACGCTTGCTCCTGGGGAGGAAAGCTATGGCAAATCTAGATAGCATACTAAAAAGCAGAGACATCACCCTGCCAACAAAAGTGCGTATAGTCAAGGCTATGGTTTTCCCAGTTGCAATGTATGGCAGTGAAAGCTGGACCATAAGGAAGGCTGAGCGCAAAAGAATTGAGGCCTTTGAATTGTGGTGCTGGAGAAGATTCCTGTGAGTTCCTTGGACTGCAAGGCAATCAAACTGGTCAGTCCTAGAGGAGGTCAACCCTGACTGCTCTTTGGAAGGCCAGATCCTGAAGATGAATCTCAAATACTTTGGCCACCTAATGAGAAGGAACAACTCATTGGAGAAGACCCTGATGCTGGGAACAACTGACAGCAAAAGGAGAAGGGGACGGCACAGGATGAGGTAGCTGGATGGAGTCACTGAAGTAGTCGGCGTGAGCTTAAGTGGACTCCGGGGGATGGTGGAGGACAGGAAGGCCTGGAGGAATGTGGTCCATGGGGTCGCGATGGGCTGGACACAACTTCGCGACTAACCACAACAACAGTCATACTAAAAAGGGAACACTCATTTTTGCTTTGTAGTATCAAGAGGACAGTTAAAATAGGGATATGCTTACATATGAACTTTTAATGCTTCAGCGCTAAGGTATTAAGTAAAAAGAAATGTACTATGCGGGTTGGAAATATTTCGCTGAACAGCTAATCAGTTTATGCGGGCCACTTAGTCTCCGCTGACCCTAAAAGGGGTTTGATCCATGGAGCATAAAGAAGCATAAAATACATATTCTGCAAAATACTATAAAACTATACCTAGATGAAAAAAAGGCCAAGTATAATTTGTTCATTCATATTTTCACCTACAATTGATCCCTTTTATATTCAATGCCAGAAAAGCATAATTCATGTAATGCTGTTTTGTTCTAAGTGTTTTGTCCTCCCCTGACAAGTTATGAGAAAATCTGTAACAAATAAGAACAAAAATGGCTTAATTGAAATCAGAATTCTTTTTAGTGAGTCAAATAGTCAGCTGAAGTTAATGAAATGGGCACAATTCTGTGACCTAGAAAAAGTTGAATCAGCCAAATGTATCTGCTGCAGAAGACTTCTGGAATCTTCCTCCTGGGTAAGGAAATGGGAAAGTGAGAAAAAGGACTCCACTTTTGGCTCCAGCCCAAACCAACTACTGGCTTCATTCTGTTGACATGTGGCTTCCAACAGATTACCCCAAAGAGAATGTGGCCAACGAGAGAAAAAAGATTCTCTATATCTAATCAACTGAAATATTTTATAGCAAATCTTGTAACAATTTTCTTACTAGACATTTAGAAGGAAACACCTTATTTCCATGCTTCTTTTTCTCTCAACCATAGGAACAATAGCAAGGGCAACAATGCCTATACAAATCAGATCATATTTACTTTGCACTTGAGCAAATTATGCCAAGGTAATACTAATAGCAGTCAAACTCTATAAGTATACAACTCAAGTAAATTATCAAAAATCAGTACTTTATTTTTACTCTGGTAATTTTATTAGGAGGTAAGGAGCTATGTGAATATAGAGTGTACAAACATCAACCCAACCACTGGAAATTTTATTCAGCTATCTCAGCCTATAGATCTGATCAGACATCTTCTACATTTCTAATTAGAGCTCTATAACCATAAACTAGAAACCTGCTACAAGCTCTGGTTTTCAGGAAGCTGTTAGGTCATGCTCAGTTGGCCCCAGTTCCCTTTAAAGTAATTAATGACAGCCTTGTTGGGAACTATAGCAGGGGCACAGAATCTTTCAGCCTGAGGGCCTATTTCTATTTCTGAGAAACTATGGGATCTGCATTCCAGTGATGGGGTCAAAGACAAAACAGGTAGGGCCAAAGATACCAACATATATCAGTTTAAAAGTTCTCAGTCACAATAAGCTTTAGAAGAGGGATTTCAACCTTTTAAAATGAAATAAATGTACAAAGAGCAGGAAGCCATCAAATGATCAATGGTTGAGGGAGAAAGGGTGGAGCCATAGGAAGGGGATGTGGTCAGAGGATTGAATTTAGCTCCAGGGCTTTTAAGTTTGAATCCTAGAAATAGAGGAACTACATCTTTTTCAAGGTTGAAAGCAATTATTTTATCTAAAGTAGGGGAGTCAGTCAGGAAGTATGGGGTAATGTTTGGATCCTCCTTCCTGTAGATCACATTTCACAGGGTGTTGGAACACTGCCCCCCCTCCATTTTTTACATAAAAAACAGATTTTCTTAATGGTTTGCTGCCAACCTTCTTTTATGATACATGGGCCATTGTTGCCCACTCCAGAGCTAAAAGAATTAACAGTTTCATTGCACAGACTTATAAGAAACATTAAAATACTTCAAAGGCTCTGATGCTGAGCAGACTGACTGATTTGACAAGATCAGGTAGAAAGTTATTTATAATAAATAGAAAGACTCTGAAGAAAAGCTAGAAAATATGCACATTTGTTTTCTCATTGCATTTGTCTAAAGAAACAATCTTATTTCAAACACTATTATTCCACTCTTCCAGCATATTAAATGTTCTAAATCTTCTCTCTCTGGATTACAAGACTAAAACCAATAAGAGAACACCAGTAATTTTTTTAAATGTAAGACTGTAGGAAGAGCCCTACTGATTCAGACTGAGTTGCATCAAGCACTCTTTTCCAAAGAGTGCCCCATGAGACCACAAGCAAGACTTGAACTCTTTTTTTAGGAGCTTAACTCCATTTAGTGAGTAACTATTGTTGCAAACATGAATGTATTTTTACCACAGCAAGCCTCACTGAACTCAACTGGACTAACATTATTATTTACATTTCCTTACTGCCCATACCCAAGTTCTCTGGGCAGTTTACAACATTAAGTCACTCATCTAGATTTCAGTCAGTAAAGGTGAATAAAACTGGACAATATGTGGCAGTGGCATAAGATAAAAACCTATCAGCAGTTTTCCAGCTGTGATCTGGAGTAGCAAAACAAAGCTTAAATGCATACTTCCGTCCCTCATAGTTAATTCTAAGGTGATTTTTAATAATTAAGGGTGCTGAGCAATGCAGCTTCTGCAATCCTTTGAATGCAGGTTGCCTGTATCCTGCCAGATCCTCACACTTGCTGGAATAGTCCTCCAGTACTGAATCCATAATTACACTCGTGATTTCAAAATTATACTGATTGCAATGGCAGTATAATTTCAAAGTTCAGGATCCCAGATCTGACCTATCCTGCGGCCATCCAGACAGTTTCTAGCAGCCATAGGATTGCACCCAAAAACAAACATGATCAAGTTGCATCTTAATATTTCACAGAGAGGTAAGCTAGAACACAGCATCTTTAGTGGATCTGAGATGTAAATGAACAAAACTTTACCTGGCGATACTTCCTCTTTCTGTCTGACTGTATGGTCCTTTGTGAATTTTACCCTCTGATGAGCTCGTATGCAGGTCTTACATAACCATTCAACACATTCCACGCAGAAACCATTGGCTTCTGCATTGTCTTCACAGCTTGTACAAACCTGACAAGGAACAGAAAAGTGCCTGTTGAGATAAACCAGCACTTTCACTTTCAATGGCATCACTGAAATTAGCACTGGGGATCAGTGAAGAAGAGAAATGAGCATGCTAGTCAGATTTTTCACATCTATACTGCAGGTTTATTTATAACAAAAAATAAATGAAGAATAGATATTGGGGGCGGGGGTTACTTTGTAACTTGTTCAAGTTTACCTTATCTGGACATCTCTCTGTTATCAGAGCTGTAGAGTCTTCATGCTTGCTTGTCATTTAGAGAGGTAAAAACCCTCTTGAGACTATTTATAATGTCTTAACAAGATAAGCTGCAGAGCAGCAAACTTTGTTCGTGCTTTCAAGTCGCCATCCCCGAGAAGTTCCACTCTGATCTCTCCTCAGATCATATAAATCTTTCACTTTTTACTGCAAGTTTATTTTTGAATGCAATTTTAATGGTAACTCAGAGCAGTTTAGGTGAGAAAGAAAGCAAATACTCAAAGCATTTACCGACCATAGATTTGACCCAGGAGCTCATATATCATCTATGCACCTTTATAACAGCTGTATGCTATCTGGTGACAATCACTTGAGGCAGTTTCTCCACATGATTACAAGTTACCTAGGGTAATGGAAAGTTTGTAGAAAACTAGTGATGCATGATGTTTTGTGGGAAGATCTCTTAACTGTTTGTGAACCATATTGGTCAACTGTTAAAAGAGGCTTTAGAGCTAATTTGCCCTTGCCCACCTAGCCTTCCTTCAATAGAATACAAAAGCAATCTCAGAGGAATCAAAAAAGGCAGTGGTTGCTGAATCTAAGATTTAGAAATATGGGTTGGGGAGACCAACATATCTGCAGCCTTTCTACATCTTAGCCTTTTATCTGATACTTCAAATATAGCTGTGGAATATACTAAAGACTACATCAATTGATGCAAGGTTGCTTTGATTACATCAGAAACAAGAATATACACAAATATCCAGGCAAATTTGAGGCACTGTAGTAGCTTATCTATCTGTGAGTCTATGTCTGAGCAGATGCAGTTGTATTGTAGGGCTTGCTGACAACTATTTTGCAATTTGTTCTGGGTAGAAGATGAAAGCTTGTAGGTATGTGCAGTGCTCTTCAGATTGATTAATTGATTTATGACACTTGTATGCCATCCTTTGCAAAAGTCTCAGGATGGCTTACACAAATAAAATTCCAAAATACATAATATTATAAATAAAACACTTCCAGATTTCAGAGTTAGTGTGGGACTTATGTAGTTGTACTGTTTTATTTAGAAAATCGGCTTTTCCAGGTGAAGGTTGATAGCGAAATGCAAGTCATTGAAGTCCTTTGGGACCAATAAAAGTTTTTCTAGGCACCTAAGAACACATTCTTTCCTATTTTGGGAACCCTGTCCATAAATCAAGAAATAAAGATGCCACCAAAGAATTTCAGGTAGAGATAGGGCTTCTGGGGACAGGACCAGAGAATTTTTGCTACAAGACAGTCATGAAGAAGTTAGCATACTGTAGAGTTATGTGGTATCACTGATCTAAAGATACGTTTTCTCCAATCTTGAAATAATTGTATGTACACAATGGAAGAGTTACAAATAAAAATTCATTTATTTTTATTATTTAAATAAAATTTATTATATAAGTCCTCCCAAGGTAGCATATAGCAACACACACATAAAAGCAACATGATATTAAAAGTGCACAATAAAAATAGTAAAAAACCAAACCAAACCAGCAAAAAAAAAAAAAAAAAAGGAAAAAATAGCAACAAAAATTCAACAGCAGCATTGTTATTAGGAGGAGAGTAAAACAATGGCTAGATTCAGACAACACTACATACCATGATAGTTTTTTTTTAAACCACGATTGGCCTATTTTGTTGTCTGAACTCAATCATAGGGTTTCACCATGCTAAGTTTAGAAACCATGAAAAGAAACATTATTTTGTTCTATGGTTTCTCTGTACCAACATGGCTTGCCATATTATCTGGATCCAAGATCTTGCATTCCATGGTGCTGGTACATCATAAGAACATAGGAAAAACCTTCCTGTATCAGACCAAATGATCATCTAGTCCAACATTCCGTAACCATGATGGCAAATCAGCTGCATGCAGGATTCCACGAGTAGAATCTATACAAGACCACCAGCTGCCCAAGTTCCTCAGCAAGGATAGTAGCCATTCATAGCCTTCAACTTCATGAATCAGTCCAATCCCTTTCTAAAGCAGTCCAGATTGGTGACCACTACTACGTACCATGGCAGCAAATTCCATAGTTTAATGATACATTCATTGAAGTACTTCTTTTTAGCTGTCCCAAACCTACCAGCAATCAGCTTTATGGGATGTTCATGTATTTGAGTATTATGGGAGAGGGTTGGGATTTTTCCCAAAAGGGAAAAATGTCTATTTTATCCACACCATGCATTATTTAAACGCTCTATTATGTCTCTCTTTTTCTGGAAACTGAACTGTCCTAGTTACTGAGGCCGCTCATCCCTGGGGAGCAGCTCTAGTCCCATGACCATTTTTGTTGCCCTTTTCTGTACCTTTCCCAGCTCAATAATGACATTTATTGAGTGAGGCAACTGGAACTGAGCACAGTATTCCAAGTGCTGTTGCACCAAAGGTTTATATAAGGGAAGTAAGGTTTGGCAGGGATTTTTTCCTATTCTTTTCCTAAGTATGCCTACATGGAGTTTGCTTTCTCCACAGCAGCTGCACACTGGGTCAACATTTTCATTGAGTTGTCTGCTACTACCTCCAGATCGCTGTCTTGCTCAGTTACTGCCAGGTCAGATCCCAACAGCATACACTTGAAGTTGGGACTTTTTCTCCACCATGCATTCGTCTATACCTGCTTATATTAAATGACATTTGTCATTCTGATGCCCATTTTTCCAGCTTGGAGAGATCCCTATGGAGTTCTTCACAATCCATTTTGGTTTTAACCTTCCTAAAAAGATTAGTGTCATCAGCAAACTTGGCCATTTCACTGTGTCCTCCTAGTTCCACATAATTTATGAATAGGCTGGAAAGCACTGATCCCAATACAGAACTTGTGGCACTTCACTGGTGATATCTCTCCATTGCGAGAAGTTGCCATTTATCCCCCTCCCCCCCATCTTCTGTTCTTTAATCAATTAGTGATCCATAAGAGGACCCCCCCTTATTTATCCCCCCCCCAGCCACCATTATTCCATGACTGTTTAGTTTGCTCAGGAGCCTTTGGTGAGGGTTTTTTCCAAAAGCCTTTTGAAAGGCCAAGTAAACAGTGTCTACTGGATTGCACATGTCTATGAACTTGTTGACATTCTCAACTTGCTCCAGTAGGTGAGTGATACAAGACTTCCCCTTGTGAAAGCCATGCTGACTTTTTTCCCCAGCAGGGCTTTTCCTTCTGTGTGCTTACTGAATAATACTTTCAAGCAGTCTACCCAGTACAGATGCTGAACTAACTGGCCTTTAATTTCCTGGATACCTCCTTGATCCCTTTTTAAAAATTGGTGTTCCATTGCCCATTCTCCAGTCCTCCGGTAAAAGGACTGACTTTGGGGACATGTTAAATATTCTGGAAAAGGTCAGCAATTTCATGTTTAGTTCTTTGAGTACTCTAGAATGGATACCATCTGGACTGGGTGACTTGCTGACTCAATTTTTCACTAAGTTTGAGAATTTCATCCTTTGTCTCTGCTATCTGCCTTATTTCCTCAGACTCTCTTCTAGAATACATAAATTCAGGGACAGATATCCACTCTTCATCCTCTGCTGTGAAGACCGACAAAAAGAATTCAGTCAGGTTCTCTGTAATCTCCCTAACCCCTTGGTGCTCCTTTAATTCCATTACCACCCAATGGCCCACCTGCTTCCTTCCTTTAAAGAATTCTTTATTGTTAGTCTTGATATTGCTAGTGATGTCCTCCTCAAACTGTTTCTTTGTTTCTCTGACTGTCTGCTTGTGTCTCTCTTGTGCAAGCTTGCAGGCCTGTTTTATTTATTTGGATAAGACTTCTATTTTTTAAATGAAGCTTTCATCTCACTAATATCTGGCCAGGGAGGCTTATTTTATACTGTATTGTTGTATTTTTAATTTAATATTAATATTTTTATTTATATTATAATTATTTTAACTTAATGATGTAAGCCGCCCCGAGGCTTTGGCGAATGGGGCGGCATAAAAATGTTTTTAATAAATAAATAAGTAATAGCTTCCTTGACTCTGTGTTTTAACCATGCTGATTATTTCCTGGACATTTGCTACCTTTTCTCGCTCATGAATTCGGTGTGCAGGGGTGCTTTCCTCCAGCTGTGGTGGATATACAAGCTTCTTCCCTACCTGGACAGACAGAGCCTGAAAGCAGTTACTCATGCACTGGTAACATCCAAAATAGATTTCTGTAACACACTGTACATGGAGCTGCCTTTGAAGGTGGTCCAGCAATTACCACTGGTACAGAACAGGGCTGCTCAGTTAATGATGGGAGCTCCTAGAGTGGCCCACATAACACCTATATTGAAAGAAGTGCACTGGTTACCAGTTGTGGCCCAGGCCCAATTCAAAGTGCTTGTGTTGACATATAAGGCCCTAAACAGCTTAGGCCTCTGTTACCTTAAGGATCTATGCAGGGGGCCCTCCTGTGTGAGCCCTCCCCTAAGAAAGTGAGAGACATGGCTGCTAGAAAAAGGGTCTTTTCTGCAGCTGCTCCCCATATCTGGAATGCTCTCTCCAAAGAGATTCGTCTGGCTCCTTCTTTATACTCTTTTTGGCACCAGGTGATGACCTTCCTTTTTAAAAAGCATTTTAATAATTGAAGCAACTAAACCTTTGTTTTGTATTTTTATCTGCATTTTATTTGTATTGTATTTTTAATTGTTATTAGTTTTGTTGTGGTTTTTTATCTTAAGATTGTGAGCCACCCATAGGTGCTGTGGCACAAGGCAGCATACAAATGTTTTGGATGGATGGATGGAATGTGTGCCTCTGATATAGGGTTCTTGAATAAACTCCACACATTTTGATGTGATTTAAACTTCTTGAGTTCTCTCTTCAGTTTCTTTTTTCTTTTTTTTTTTACCAGTTCCCTCATTTTTGAGAATTTTTCTTATTTGAAGTCAAACACAACTATGTTGGACCTCTTTGGCAGTCTTCTATCTAACTGTATATTAAACCCAATACCAGCATGGTCACTGTTACTTAATAGCTCAACAACATTTACATCCTATGGTATGTCCTGGGAAACTCTGCCTAGGACTAAAACCAAGATTGCCTCCCCTCTTGTTGGTTCTATGACCAACTGCAACAAGGCACAGTCATTTAGAACATCAAGAAATCAAACCTTTAGGTCAGAAGTGGCACATGCATTTAACCAGTCAATTTGGGAGTAGTCAAGGTCCTCCATTATTACAGTACTGCCTTTGTTGGAGGCCTCCCTGATTTCATTTCTCATCTCAAGATCATTACCACAGAGTCCTCTGGAAAAAATGACAACTGCAGGAGCTGATCCAGCCTCTGTGTGTGGACCAATGAGAAAAAGGCAGGTGACATAGGCAGGAAGAAATATACCTTGGACTGAATTTCAGGTGTGGTGGTTGATGGGACACATACCAACAGTGGGATGACTTAGAGGGGATGATGGAAACCACAAGAAAGTAGAAACTCCTTGATAGTCCAGAAGATGAAGTTAAAAAACTGTTAACTGGAGTAACCATGCAAAGCTGCTTGTCATGTTGTGTGAATGTAGCCAATAAGTTTTCAAGGTCTTCTTAATGTTGCACCATGGCAGAGCCCCAATTTCAACTTATGTTAAAAGTGGGAGCCAATGCAGAGAAGGCCCTCTCATGTGTGGTCACTCACTTAATTACTCTCACAGGTAAGTAAATATGGTGTTGCAGAGCTGCCTGTGAGCCTCCTATACATAGTCCAGTTTGTTCACGCTGATCACATTTGTGAAGGATCACATTATTTGGATGGCATCAGACTGTGTTGCTTGCTGACTACTTCAGCTTGGGCTTAGCGGAATAAACACTGCATGTAAAAATCTAACCTAGTGTTATCCCCAAACAAATGGGGATGTGTTTGTGACGTGGTGTGCCTAATAAGAAATGTTGACAAGAATATGAAGATCAGAATTTTATTTTGCAAAATAAAAGGCACCCAGTGGATCATTCCAAACTGAGGCCCTGAGCTACCCCCAGTTCCTCCCTTTATATTACTAACTAAACAAAACATCACATGATCATGGATTATTTAGCTATTTCTTATCTTAAGCTAACCCTTTCTTATCTGAAACAATCACCCTTAAGCATGTGTACTGTTTTTCTTGTACAGGCTCGCAATCATGGCCATCTGCATTCTGTTTTCTTATGCAAGCATTTGGAATTTTGGGGGCTTCCTCATCATTACAACAATCTGGAGGGGGTCTGTACAGAGTTGTTCTTCCTATACAGTTGTGAGGAAGTTCACTGTGTGTCCAGTGCATTAATGGTTGTGTGTTGATGCACTGACTGATGTCATGATGGAAGTATTCCGTAAGTTGTAGACAGTGGAAAAAATCCTAGGATACCAAAGAAGCAAATAAGACCAGTTCTGCTGATTTGGCATTTTCCTGTTTTTTAGCTCAATACTTGCAGAAAGTTACTATTTGAAAGTACAAGACGTTCACTCTTGTATATCTTAGCGTGATACCATCTTAGTGTGATACCATCAACTTCTCTGGACAAGAAATTTAGTTTTATTCCAACAGATTATGTATCTGTGGTTCAGAGGAAATTGGAACAATAACTCATGATTTTTTGGTAATATTTATCAAGATTTCCAGAAATACTAAGTACACTGACTGTTTTATTTTCTGGAAAGTCATCTGAATGTCTTTAAAAATTCTGATATAAAGTAGTTTATCAAAAAAACTAGAGCTTATTTTTTCTTGAGTGTACCTGAGTGTTAGGAATTCTTTTTCCTAAGGACCTTAATGAAAGGAGCAGTTATTCTTGGGATGCATTCCAAGGTCAAGCAGATTCGATGAGGAGGGGCCCTGGGAACTAGAATTCTCAGGTGTTGAAATGGAAGATATGGAGTGGCTTATCTCAAGGGCACCCTTGAGATAAAACCCAGGTGTTCAGGCAGACAATGAGAATAGTCACAATTTACAACTTCAGAGAGGTGTTGTGGGAGAAAAATTCCTGCAGCCAGTTGAGCCTGGTAGGACTCTTGACTCCATGATGGGAAGTTGGGAGTGAAAGGCCAACCAACTAGAGGGGAGATGGACAGAGAAGACACTTACCCATCTCCAAAAGGGCCATGCCAGAGGGAGGGGGCCCAGGGGTACTCAAACGAAAGATTATCAGAAGTAGTAAATAGAATGCGTTCAGCAACCACTCTGTGCATGCTCAGAGACTAATTCTTTGTTGACTGTGCTTACTGGAAGTAAATTGGAGAATAAAGAGCTTTTGCCAAAGAATGTGCTGTTGTTTTGGAAGTGTGAAGGGAGAAACATAGTTCGCAACAATGAGCTTTCATTTTATCTCGTTAAATGTAATGCTGGATTTCTAAATTTGTCAACAGAGCTACTGCATTTATCTGCTTGGATTTTGCTTATGTATAGCATATATATTCTATTATGAACTCTAGACTGGATCAATATATTGACTGGATTTTAAAATTGCTACTGTATTGAGAAGCTTATTTAATTTCTATGGAAATAGGAGATATACACATTTAACAGATTAAAAAAAGCAGAGGTCTTGTTGGAAGACATAATCTGCTGCTACTTTAAAAATATCAGTTCATGCTTCAGTTCTTTCCCTCAGCACTAAAATGTATGCTGTGTTTTGCTGTGCTTATAAATGAGAAATCTGAAAATCATTTCCTAAATGCAAAGACATTTTTCTTTTCCTCCTCATCACTACACTCATCTTTTCAAACAACCAGTATAGGGAAGTTGTTATTCATACAGCCAGAAACATTCATTTTATAGAAAACATTCATTTTATTAATATGATCTACCCATCCTTTCTCCTTTCACACTGGCCTTTTTGGAGATCAGTTTAGATGTGAGAAGCCTCTATGCTTTACTAGATACCTGTCAGTCTCTCAGCTTAGAATGGAAGACTTCCCTTTCTCTTCTTTTTTCATACCAAAACTAAAGAGAAACAATAGGTGCATAGTCTAGCATACAAACAGCATGCAATGGAAGCTTTTACTTAATTACTTGGCAAATTAATCTTTGTAATAATATTCTCATTATTATGCACAACAAGAACTATGTTTTTCTTGCAACTTTCAAAAGTACAAAGCAAATCCTTTTCTTATCATCTCAAACTTTCATAAATGGCATCTAATAAAACAACGTAGGACTGCAAGAACATTTTTTCTATCAGTACAATGTAGGAGTACAATCCTATGAAGTTAGACAAAAAGGGCCTGCAACTCCCCAAAAATGTTCGGCCAACAGAAGACCTCACAGCTGACAGCTCAGATAATACAAAAAGAACCTAACACAAACCTGATTTGACTTTTCCACGGTACTACTGGGAACCTCAGTAGTATCCTTCACAAAGATGTTATCAATGATGTGTCGCTCAGCACATTCCTGGCCACAAATGGGGCAACGAACAACACCAACTGTTGAGAAAGAAAGAATGGGATAAATTAATATGTTTATATATCAAGTCTATCCATCAATATTTCAAAGGTCTCTCCTCTTAAAACTTCTTCCTGTTTCTTCACAGAAAGAAATGCCCCCTGTTCTTCATACATGTCACTACTATACTAAACCACACACTTGCCCAAACCAAAGGCTGCATGGGTTCTTGTTTTACAGTGAAATATTCCTGACACCAAAATTATAGCCAAGTGAGAAACAGCCAAATAATGCCACTACTTTCCAGTTGGTTTCTAAAAGAGTTTAGGAGTACAAATTCTGGAAATCTGACAAATAATAAAGGAATTTTTTTAAGTAGTCATAAAAAGTGCTACAGTTGGTGGAAAATAGAAGTAAGAGTAATAGCAAAAAAATGCCCAATGGCAGATGACCAGAATTCACCTGCTGCAGATTTAGGGCCAATTTACCTTATGTTAAGACAGTGTTTCTATATGTTTAGTCAGCCATGCCAAGTGGTAGCCGGACTGTCCCAGTCAACCTACAGAAGATGGAGCGGAATCCAATGTGGTACTTTTACTCACACTATCTTTTTTTGATCCTGCCAATCCCTTTCTGAAAGCAGTGGGTCCCACCAATGGCATTGTTCAGGTGGATATCAGTTCTTACACAAGGGAGAGTTAGTGCTTCCTAAGAGGAGGGCCAAACATGAACAGAAATAAGAATTTCCACTTGTGACTATTGTGCAAGCTAAATGGACATTCCAAAAGCTGTAGATGCAACTGCTGTGTGCAAAAGCACCCCACTGGATTCTACTCTAGGTTACAGAATTCCTTAAGCTTCCATGGGATAAGATCATGCACAAACCATGTACAAGGCTTAGAACTAAGATACAGCTTATCCAAGCCATTAAACAACAGATAGAAGGGGAGTAACTACAAATTCTTACATTTCAAACACACTAGTGTTTGCCCATAATAATAGGAACACTTGGTGGTTATTTGAGTTATCTTAGCAATGGTCCTGACATTGAAATTTAATTCCTACTGATATATGCCTAACCCCTTCTGCTTCAAGATGTCTAGAATTGAATTTGGAATTGTCTTGTGTCTTCAAAACAGTTTTGCAAGCTGTTCTGAATGTTTGGTTTTACAGTTAATACATCTTCTATCTGGTTGTGCTGTTATCTGTATGCTGCTTTGTAAAGGCATTACTCTGAAAAGTGGTTAAAAATTTCCTCATAAGAAGTGTACTGCATTTATTTTTGTGACTATCTTTAATGTTTTATTTTATTGTTTACGAGTTACTCTGAGAAACTATGCTGAAGAGCAGCATATGCATTTCATAATTATTTTACAAGTAGGGCTTTTCTACAAGAGGCCTTCCCCCCCCCTTTTTTTTTTTTCAAAGGAAGGGTATGTTCTTACATGTGTATTCCCCCATGGGTTTTCTTTCTGTGTCTTTCCATGTGGTCTAGTATCAGAAGGTGGAGCTGTAGTACAGCTCAATTGTGCAATATGCAGCTATTTTGTGGCACTTCCAAGCATGTTAAAAAATAACAGCTGACCATCCTCACTCTAGATCAAAATGGCTGGAAAATATATTAAAGACCCTGAAAAATGACATTATGTAACAGACCTACATATTTCCCTGAGTGAGGGTATTACAAATAAATATAATAAATACCTTGAATAGAGAAGCCCTTGGCTGTAGCATGATTCTCATTCGCTGAAGTATATGAGGAACAGAGGGGAATGAAAGGTTTACAAGACAGCAAATGGGCACAGCTAGGTTTGTGTAGGTTCCAAGTTACTGAATATATTTGCCAGTCAAGGCACTCACCAAGTGCCCTAAGAATAGCTTCTGTGTGATGACTTCCATGTGATGACCATGGGATGGTGACACAGAAGTGCAGAAATGACATCTGGAAAGCAAAAGCTGAGCATGAGCTGAGGCTAGCAAGGGATGCTAAAAGCAACTAAAAAGCTTTTAAAAGATACGTTCACAGTAAAAAGAACTGGTGGTTCAACTACTCAATGAAGATGGCAGATAGATAACAGATGACAAAGAAAAAGCCAAAGTCTTCAATTCCTACCTTGATTCAGTCTTTTCACAAAACCAGGTCTATGACTATCCTCATAGAAATAAAGAACAAACTGGAGGGTGAGGATTGAAGCTTGATATTAATAAACCAATGGTAAAAGAGCCAATCTAATTTCTTTGAATGAATTTAAATCTCCACGGACTAATGAAATGCATCCTACAGTAATAGAGGAATGGTAGAAGTACTCATTATCTTTGAGAAATCATGTAGGATGGATGAGGTCTCAAATGACTGGAGGAGGGCTAATGCTATCCCTTTCTTCAAATAGGCAAAAGGATGGATCATGGGAAATACAGACTAGTTAGTCTGACATCAATCTGCGGGAAAATTCTGGAGCAGATAATAAAGAAGTCATTATGTAAGCACCTTGAAGACAATGGAATAATTACTAGAAACTAGCATGGATTGATCAAGAACAAAACCTGCCAGACTAATCGAATCAAATTTTTGAATGGGTAGTCTCCTTATGTGGACTATGGGAATTCTGGACATAATGTCGAATGTGGAATGTTGTGGACATAATATATCTTGATTTCAGCAAATCTTTTGTCAAAGTGTCCATGACACTCTGACAGGAAACTAGCTAAAAATGGACCAGGTGGAAAACTATCAGATGGATCCATAGCTGACTACAGGATCAGACTCAGAGAGTACTTCTCAATGGCACCTCCTCAGACTAGGAGGAGGTTATGAGCAGGGTTCCACAGGGCTCAGTCCTGGGACCAGTGCTCTTCACCCTGGATGAAAAAATGCAAGGGATGCTTAACAAACTTACAAATGACACAAAATTGTGTGAGATGGCTAATATTCTGGAAGGCAAAAAAAAATCTGATCTAAAACACTGGGTGAAAGCAACAAAATGAAATTCAACAGGGATAAATACCAAGTTCTACACCTAGGAAAAGGGAACAAGTTCTGGGGAGACAAGATACAGACAAATTGAAACAAGTTCAGAGAAGGTCAACAAAGATAATCAGGGGACTAGAAGCAAAGCCCTATGAGGAGATTGAAAGAACTGGGCATGTTTAGACTTGAGAAGAGAAGACTGGGGTAAAATAGGATGGCACTTCTCAAATACTTGAAAGGTTGTCAACACTGAGGAGGGTCAGGATCTCCTCTTAATCATTCCATGCAGGACATGGAATAATGGGCTTAATTTACAGGAAGCCAAATTACAGCTCGCCATCAGGAAAAATTTCCTGACTGTTAGAGCAGCATGCCAATAGAACCAATTACTGAGGAAGGTCATGGGCTTTCCCACACTGGAGGAATTCAAGAGGCAGTTGGATTTGGTCATGGATGGAGGCACTGTATTGCTTTGTTATAATGTTGAAATGCCCAGGCATACCAAGGACATCCTATGTGGGGTGGCTCAGGATTTCATGGACTTCATGGCAACATGAAACTCTCCCAACATATCATTGATCCAACACATGTTTATACTGATTTAAATGGTGTCTATTAAATATATTTTATACTGTGTTTTATGATTATTTTACTGTATTTTATATCTCTGTTTTGTATTTTGTGAATTACTGTGAACCTCCCAGAAAGATGCAGCCATTGGACAGTATAGAAATCTAAAAATTTCAGTTATTACTCCAAAGGTTCTCCAATTCTCCATTGCTATTATCATCAACTATGTCTCCTACTCTTTAGGAAACTCCTGATTCCAATATACTTTACATGGAATGCAAGAACATTGCAACAGCACAACACATAAATATCTATGAAAAACTCTACAGCTATTGTCCTTATCATACTTCAGAATATATGCAGACAGATGGAATTAAAATAGTCAAATCTACCTCCCAACAACTTTAAGGAGATATACATGCTATAAACAGTATGATACATGAAAGCTCATTCATTACAAAGTTATGACTATGGATAATATGTTTACTACATTACCCAAAAGTGTTTATTATTCAGTGGTGTGATAAATGTAGTGATCAAATACAGAATTTCTATGTAATCTTTATAAAAGGATACTGGAAAGTTTTTGCATATTAACATCCCAAATACTAGTATGGTTATTCAAATACTGTGCTGTTACCAAAGTTGAATTTTACTAGGGACTTCCAGGACAACACAATGCAGATGTATAACTAAATTTCTTACATTTCCTTCTTAATCAAGTCTCTTTCTTCAGACCCTACTTTAGGCTTTACCCTATTTGGGTCAGCAATCTCTTTAATTGTTGCTCAGTGAACTCCATAAAGCACCATTTACACTGATATTACCATAACAACAAAGATACCACTGCCAAATCATTTGTAAATGAGTGAAAGGTCACCAAAATGAGCTGTCAAAGGAGCACCACTGCTATAATTCCAATGGTGTCATTTCAATAATCCAAAACTGCAGAAACCCTGTTTGTATCTTTGCTCAACTGTCAAATTCAATACTTGACTCTACTTGCACAAGCTGCTGCACAAGATGTTTCACAAGTCATTGTGCAAGCTGTTTTATAACCTGCTCTGCTAATCATTGCAGAATACATTATGACATTATTTGAAGTGATATTTGCCTTGTACAACTCATTACTACTTCATTAAACATTTCTGCTAGTTGTGCTAGTTTTGGATTTATTATCAGCTAGCAGAAAAATTACAAGAGTTGATGTTATTTCTGTTAGCAGTTGTACAAGCATTATCTGAACTCCATTGGCAGCACCTCTGCAAACACGATCATCCTGTGAATTCAAGTCATGTTTGAATTCTATATATTTCAAAGGACTTGAGGTTTACCTCCTGTTTTATTCTCACAACAACCCTGTGACATGTCATGGCTAATAATAAGTGTCTTAGATTACCTAGAGTGCGCAAATTGGAATCTATGTTTTCTTTGTCAAAGAATATACCCCTTACATCACCCTGGTTCAGACCATTTACTCCTTCTTACCACAGGTGTTGTGAC